GGTAGCTGGGGTGCTGGCTGCCCCCAGAGCCTGGAGGCCAAGCATGGGAGTGTCCTAAGGCATGGAGGCCACAATGTGCCAGCTGCATCTGGGACACACCAGGATAGGGCTTCCTACCTGGTAGGCATGGGTGAGGATGTCAATGTCTGTGGCCAGGATGTCCAACCCTTAGCATTTCTGCTGCTAGGGAACCATACTCTTCAGCCCCATAGGTGGCATAGGTGGCATAGGTGGTGGGGGCATGACTGGGGTATCCCAGGAGGGAGGGCCCCAGGAGGTAGTACTAGAGGTGGGAATGAGCCAGAGGAGGCATGTGTGGCATAGGAAGCCCAGAACCCAGGGATGAAACCACAGGATAGGGGGTGGTGGAGGAAGTACATCTGCAAACAGCTGTTGAGGGTGGTCTGGTCTAGGACAGTGGGTTCCGGGCTGCCAGGGACATTCAGCTGCTGAGCATGGTGCTCATCCTTAGAGCCCTTCTTAAAGGCACAGTGATAGGGCAGTTACACAGGTACTGTCCAATCATGGCCTCAATTGCTATATCCCAAGTATCAAAAGAAGCAGAATTAATGAAGGCATAACCCTTGGAGTTGTCTGTGTCAGGGTCCCATGTAATCTTGGGGGTCTGTAAGATGACTCAAAAGGTGCTAGGTTTAAACAGGATATTCACCTAACAGTAACTGACACGATTAGAGATGTATGCAGACAGTTTATTTGGATTTTGGAGTTTGGTGGATGGAGCTGGAGGTGCCAGTTTGGCTCTTAGTATACAGGACACCCCTGACCAGGTCATGGCTGGCCTACAGGTCAGCAGTATCAAAGTAGAGGAACTACTTCGTTTTTTTTTTTTTTTTTTAATTTTGTGTTGTCATTATTGGTAGCTGTGCCTGGTGCCTTGGCACATGTGGCATCAGAGGACAGCTCTGTGGAGTCCTCCTCTTCTGCCAGCTTTGTGCAAGTTTCCAGGTTAGATCCCATCATCAGGCTTGCCAGACAAACACCTTTATGGGCTCAGCCAGTCAAGTCTTCCCCCATTTTTTTTACATAGGCTCGCATGTAGCCTAGACTGGCCCATTAGTTGCCTTGTAGTGAGGACAGCCCTGAATTTCTGAGTGCAGGGTTGGGCCTTGAGCACAGGAGCTCCAGGAGCCCAGGAGGGCTGCTGTCTTCACTCCATTTGACTCTGCAGAAAATTAGTTTCCTAATCATTGTCCATGCACAGCACTACTGTGAATCAGAAAGCAGCTTCTCATCTCTGGGTCCAGGCTCCCAGTGAGAATGTTGGCTCCGACATCCAGGTTTTGTAGTGAGCTGAGGCCTTGTTCACGCATATTGGCTTCCCATAGAGTTTGGTCATGTTCATAATCTTAATGGCCTAGTCAGCATCTTTCCCACTCCTCTGAAATTCAACAAGCCTTAGCCTTGGTGCTGCCCAGTGACTGTCATTTGGCATGTGGGTGTTGACCACTGACCCTGCCTGGAGGAGCAGTCCCACAGCAGGGGTTCACTCACGGTCTTGTCTAGGCCTCCCACTTACCTGTGACATCCTGCTCAGTCCAGCAGCCATAGTGAAAGGGCTCCCGCTGTCTCTAAGCAGCAGCTCCGCCCTCTGCAACAAAACATGTCTTTTTTTTTAAATTTTTTATTAATTACACTTTATTCATTTTGTATCCCCCCATAAGCCCCTCCCTCCTCCCCCTGCCGATCCCACCCTCCCTCCCCTTTCTGCATGCATGCCCCTCCCCAAGTCCACTGATAGGGGAGGTTCTCCTCTTCTTTCTGATCTTAGTCTATCAGTTCTCATCAAAAGTGGCTGCATTGTCCTCTGCTGTGGCCTGGTAAGGCTGCTCCCCCCTCAGGGGGAAGTGATCAACGAGCAGGCCAATCAGATTATGTCAGAGGCAGTCCCTCTTCCCATTACTATGTAAACCACTTGGACACTGAACTGCTATGGGCTACACCTGTGCAGGGGTTCCAGGTCATCTCCACAAATAGTCCTTGGTTGGAGTATGAGTCTCTGGGAAGTTCCCTGTGTTCAAATTATCTTGTTCTGTTGCTCTCCTTGTGGAGTTCCCGTCCCCTCCAGCTCTTACTATTTCCCACTTCTTACATAAAATTCCATTCACTCTGCCCATCAGTTGTCCATCAGGCTCAGCATCTGCTTTGACAGTCTATACTGCAGAAGCTTTCAGAGGCCCTCTGTGGCAGGTTTCAAGGTTGTTTCCTGTTTTCTTCTGGCTTTCAGAGGCCCTCTGTAGCAGGTTCTGAGGTTGTTTCCTATTTTCTTTTTCTTCTGATGTCCATCCTCTTTGCCTTTCAGGATGGGGATTGAACATTTTAGTTAGGGTCCTCTCTTTTGCTTAGTTTGTTTAGATGTACAGATTTTAGTGGGTTTATTCTATATTGTATGTTTATATGAGTGAGTATATACCGTGCGTGTCTTTTTGCTTCTGGGACAACTCACTCAGGATGATCCTTTCCAGGTCCCACCATTTACCTGCAAATTTCATGATTTCCTTATTTTTCATTGCTGAGTAATACTCCATTGTATAGATGTATCACAGTTTCTGCATCTATTCTTCAACAAATGGTGCTGGTCCAACTGGATGTCTACAGGTAGAAAAATGAAAATAGATCCATACTTATCACCCTGCACAAAACTGAAGTCCAAGTGGATCAAAGACCTCAACATAAAACCAGACACATTAAATCGGCTAGAAAAAAAAGTGGGGAATACCCTAGAACTCATTGGTACAGGAGAAAACTTCCTGAACAGAACACCAACAGCACAGGCTCTAAGAGCAACAATCAATAAATGGGACCTCATGAAATTGAAAAGCTTCTGTAAAGCAAAGGACACCGTCATCAAAACAAAGCGACTGCCTACAGATTGGGAAAGAATCATCACCAACCCTTTATCTGACAGAGGACTCATATCCAATATATATGAAGAACTAAACAAGTTGAAAAGCAACAAACCAAGTAATCCACTTAAAAAATGGGGAACCAAGCTAAAGAGAGAATTGTCTGTAGAGGAATATCGAATGGCAGAGAAGCACTTAAAGAAATGCTCAACCTCATTAGCCATTAGGGAAATGCAAATCAAAACAACCCTGAGATTTCACCTTACACCCATCAGAATGGCCAAGATGAAAAACTCAAGGGACAACACATGCTGGAGAGGTTGTGGAGAAAGGGGAACCCTTCTCCACTGCTGGTGGGAATGTAAACTGGTACAGCCATTCTGGAAATCAATCTGGCGCTTTCTCAGACAACTAAGAATAGCGCTTCCTCAAGATCCAGCCATACCACTCCTAGGCATATACCCAAAAGAGGCGCAAGTACACAAAAAGGACATTTGCTCAACCATGTTTGTAGCAGCTTTATTTGTAATAGCCAGAAGCTGGAAACAACCCAGATGCCCCTCAGCTGAAGAATGGATACAAAACATGTCTTAACAGATTCTTTTACATGTTGCCAATTCTTGGTTCTTCTATTTTCTTGAACAAATGCTTGATTTTGATTTTGACTGTAACATTTATGCAAACAACATAAAGAAGAAAATAAAAAATTATGCTTTTTTATATTTCATGATTCTTTTAACATTTTATTATTTATCTGTTTGCATGTGTATGTGTGTGCATTGATGTGTTCATGGGTGTCAGCTTGAAGGAGTAAGTTCTCTCCTTCTAAAGGTTGAAAGGTTAATACTTTCTAAAGGTACTAAAGGTTGAACTCATGTCATGAAAATCGACAGCAGGCACTCTTCCCATCTGTAGCCACACCACTAGCCTGACAAATCATACTTTCAAAAAATGGTCCATAGAGTTTTCTAAAGTTAAGATGAAATAAAAGTTAACATTTGTGTTATTTTGTTTCATTTAACATGCTTAATAGTCCTCCTGCTCAGTGGCTGGCTCTTTGGTCACCTCCCCCTGAGGGGGTGCAGCCTTACCAGGCCACAGAGGAAGACAGTGCAGTCAGTCCTGATGAGACCTGATAGGCTAGGGTCAGATAGAAGAGGAGGACCTCTCCTATCAGTGGACTGGGGGAGGGGAAGGGGAGAAGAGAGTAAGGGTGGGGTTGGGAGGGGACGAGGGAGGGGCCTATAGCTGGGATACAAAGTGAATATGTTGTAATTAATAAAAAAAATTTTTTTTTAAATAACCCTCCTCTTTGAGTTGGAGAGATGGCTCAGTGGTTAAGAGTGGCTGCTCTTCCAGAGACCCTGTTCCCAGCATAGTGATTACATATAGTGATTACCCACATAGTGATTACAACCATCTGTAACTCCATTTCCATGGGATCTGATGCCATTTTCTGGCTTCCATGGGCACTGAACACATGTGGCGCCCATGCAAGCAGGCAAAACACTCATATACATAATATAAAAATAAGTAAATCTTTTTGTTTGTTTGTTTTGGTTTTCCTTGAGAGGGTTTCTCTGTGTAGCCCTGGCTGTACTAGAACTTGCTCTGTAGACAGGCTTATCCTGAATTCCTTATCCTCTTGCTTCAGCCTTTAAGTTTTTGGATTATGGGCCTGTGCCACTGTGCCAGGCTATTTTGTTATTATTTGACAGTGGTCTACTTAAAAGCTCCTCTGACTCTTTCACAAAGTGTTGGGTCAACCAAGAGATGACTTTAAGGAATCAGACCCCCAAGGCAGCTTGTTTCTCACTACTAGACCTCGTGAAGTATCTTTAGTGTTATTTCCATAGTCTTTTCTTCTGTTTCTAGTCGTTAAGAGTAGTTGAAGAAAAGGTAAGTTTCATTATGGATAATTTCACATACCAAACAGACAAACCACTCCGGTTAATACAGAGCTGAGTTGCTTTGCTCATTCTGCAAGGGTGGAACCGAAAAGCAGATCTCTGCTAGCATCTCTGCCAGAATTGACAGTCTTGTAAGCAAATGACTGTTTTCAAGTGCAAGTTCAGTTGGCTTCTGCTTGAGTTTTTCTGTTCTTTAAACAGGAATATGTCTTATCTTATTTAACAGTTGTTTCGAGAAGTACGAATAATGAAGATACTGAACCATCCTAACATAGGTAGGTATGAAGTCTAAACATATAATTTCTAACAAAGTGTTTCCCTTCAGTGAAGGGATTTAAATGTGTGAGTTTACTGTTGCTCCCTATAAAGAGAGGAGAAGCGAAAGCTCAGGAGGTGACACATGGTGCAGTGTGGAGGTGCAGTGAAGGTCCTGAAGGCCCTGGCAGCTGTTTCTGCTGCTCCTGCATCTCCTGCTCAACACCATACTTCGCTACAGCTGGGGCTTCTGCACAGAGATTCTCCGTGTTAAATCAAGTTACGTGGCATCAGCTAGTAATGAGGAAGAATTACATGTTTTACTAATGAACACTTGAGTTTAATGTAGTTTTGAAAAGCAAAACAATGTATTTTGAAGTAAATTTGCTGTTAATTTCAATTTTATTGAATTGTTTTAGTAAGTTTTGACTTTGCCCCCTTTTGATAACATATGTTATGTAAAATCACTTGATTCTAAGTAGTAAAAGAAAAAAATACTTTTAATCTACTTATTTTTACATTCTGTCTTGCATCTTTAAAGATTGTCTCTGTGTGTAGCCATTAATGTTATCATTCTTGGTGAACAGTTCTTGTGTTCTTATTTTTGTTTTTCTCGAGGGGGTTTCTCTGTATAGCCCTGGCTATCCTAGAACTTGCTCTATAGACCTGGCTGGCCTCAAACTCAAAAGTAAATAAATCTTAAAAAACAGTCGTACTCCCTTCCCCTCCTTCCCCCCTTTCTTTTTCTCCTCTTCCTGCTCCTCCTCCTTCTCTTCCTCCTCCTTTATATTTCAAGACAGATTTTTTCTGTGTAGCCAGGCTTACCTTGAACTTATTATCTTGAAGCCAGAAAATAATTCTATTTTTACTTCAAGTTGTTTTTAGTATCACAGAAGTATAAGTTTTGTTTTTATACCAAACACTAACACTTCATGATGTTTTACCTACCGCTACACTATCTCTAAGCTTTCATTAAAATTCTGTCCTCCTGTTTTTAAGATAAGTGTCTCCTCTCTCTCCCCCATCTGTTGTTGTTTCCTTTGGTTTTGGTTTTTGAGACAAGGTCTCCCTGTAACCCTGGATGGCCTGGAATTCACAGAAATCCATCTTCCTCTGCCTCCCAAGTACTGGGATTAAAGGCATGTGATAAAAATATTTCTCTTTTTAATGTTTTATTCTAACTAGAAAAAGTTATGGTTTATTCATCTCCAACACTGTTTTAACTCACAGGTTGACTTCAGATCACTTTGGGGTAAGTAGTTTCCTTGTATAGGAGTAATGACGCTTGAGTGACTTTTTTTATTATAAAGTTAGAATTATTCAGTTTAGCAAGAATTCTAATATTCTACTTGTTGTTGCCTAAGGTTTGCAGCACTAACATGCATTTTACGGTGTCAGATATAATTATATTTCTTCTTTTTTCAGTGAAACTGTTTGAAGTTATTGAAACAGAGAAGACACTATACTTAGTCATGGAATATGCAAGTGGGGGTAAGAATGAGTGGGCTAAGAAAACATGTCATGTTTGGTGGATATAGAATTGATGGTGCTTGGCAGCTCATTGTAACATTTATGTCTTCATCATAATTATAGTTTTACTAACATATCCTTTAATTACCTCTTAATGAAAATTTAATGTTTACTTTCAAGACCTGCTAAGCCTTCAGTATAAATAGAACTTTTGGCTTATTTAAAAATTACTTAGGGAAGTTTTAAATTTTCGTTGTCATTTTATCAATATTTTAATTTGCTTATTTAAATATTAAAATAATATTCGATTTGTAGCCCTTGGCTATAAGCAGAAAATCCCAAATGCAGAATGTATTTAATAAAATCTATACTGAAAGCATGCTCTAGGTCAGATATTTATTTATCTGACTGCTCATATATGACGGATCTTCAGTATATATACATTGCCAAGGTGATTCGTAAGTTTTGGATAAGTAACTGTTGATCTGTGTTCTGTAAGTTAGGGTTGAGTTGATGGAGGGTGGCAGAGTCCACATGTAATATAGAATACAGCATAAACTTTGACTGTTACAGGGTCACAAGAGGACTGATATGTGTGTGTTAATTAAATAATAGAAGGTCACTTTTCTGCATTTTCTTTTAAATAAGAGACACTTGACTCAAAGTGCAATTCCATTTAGAATTTTTAAAAAGGTGTTTGCATTTTATGGAGTTACACCATTGAAAAAGTAAAACCAAAATAGTTAAAGGCATGCTTTAAAAGTAGAGAGAACATAGCAATTGATTAAAAATGAGGGGATATAATCCCAGCACTTGGGAGGCAGAAGTAAGTGGATCTCTGAGTTTGAGGCCAGCCTAGTCTACAAAGCAAGTCCAGGACAGCCAAGGATACACAGAAAAACTCTGTCTCGAAAAACTACAAAAAAGAAAAGAAAGAAAACAGAAAGAAAGAAAAATGAAAGAAGAAAAGAAAAAAACCACAGTTTACTGGAATAATTTTACTGGTTTATTAATTTTCACTAATTGATAGGAAACTGTTGCATTGAGCTTAGTGCAGAGCCTTTCCATCATGAAGATGGCAGGTCTGTGGCAATGCAGAGTCTGTGTAAAATGAATAAGAAAGAGTTGTTTTGTCCATAGCATCTAGGCAACACATTTTTGTATGGCTTCTCAGATTTCTAAACTTTTTTATTTTAAATACTGAACATACGTAATTGCTTTTATGTTGTTTTGCATATTAAACATTTTAGTAAATTTGCTTTCTCCAAAACTTTTTTTGCACTGAAAATATTTCAGTGTAGGGTTTTCATTTGTTTCTTGATTTGTTCGGTCCCTTGTCTTTGTGGTGCAGGGGACTGAGCACAGGGCCCTATGCTGGGCAGGTGCTGTGCCACAGAGCTGCATCCCAGCCCATCAGTGTGGGTTTTTGATGCTCCATAATGACTGGTTTTTATGTCCTTCAGTAAATATTTCCATAGAAATCCATTGTCAGGATAGGAGCCCTGGATATTACTTTTAATTTCGAAAACTCATGTATTTTGTTTGAGTTTCTATATGGCAGTAATCTAAAATTTAGAGGTGGTTAGAAATGCTTTGATATAAGAAACGACAGGTCTCTAGAAGCCAGTGAGGACCTCTCGGCTTTTTTACAGGTTTCCCACAAAGCTCTGCATGTATGAACTGATTCAGCTGTTGATAGCTAGTCAACTCTGTTGGTGTTGAAGAAGAGTGCTCCATCTGGAGGGCAGTGAGGAGTATGTAGTGAGATAGGTTCCATCTTTATGTGCTGAGAGAGGGAGAGACAGAGAAGAAAAACCAGCCCAAACCTCCTGGCCCTTGATACTATTCTGATTCCAGGAAAGTAGAAGATGACAGGTTTTCTTTGAGTTTCACAAATGGTTTTGTCAACAAAAGTAACTATAATTCTTTGGTAGTGCATCTAGACTCTTTTTCTTGACTTTTTAAATCTATTCTTGGCAAGGCAAGATGGGGAAAGAAAACACTGAATTTTCCCTCTGAAATCTCTATATACTTTGAGATTGAATGTGGTCTGCACACTAGTGGACTTCTGAGTCAGGCGCCACCTTCCCAGGTGTTAGTCAGGGGACTAATGGCAGAGTGAGGATCTTCAGTGACCAGAAAGTCAGGGAATTCTTTCTCTACAGTTTTTTGAATCATGGTTAATTGAAAGAAGCCTGTTAAAGTAGGTGTCAGGGCTCCTCCATCACAGTATTTATTCTTCCTTTTGTTCATACAGGTAACACTTATAAATGCTTACAGGGAAGTTCTCTAGTGCTGAGAATGTACAGTGAGCAAAGATAGAGTTGGCCCTCAGGATCACACTGTAATTGGTGAAGTTAAGTGTGGTCAAACAATGCCAAGGGGAAGGCCGAGCCATGTAGTAGGGTGTGAGCCACCTGGGCACAATCTAAGAGGAGAACCAGATGCCTGATGTTTGGATGCTTATGTGTATCTTTCCCAGCCTAAATGTGTGTGTCTGGAATAATACGCGGAAGGGTTAGCTGGAATTAACAACTGTGAATGCATATCCAGAAGCACGTACTCTGAGGAGAGCCAGCCGCAGCACCCTCCATTTCTTGTTCTCATCATCCCACCTCCGATTCACAAAATGCCATGTTCAGCATGCACATTCTTAATTTCACCAACATACATCCATTGTGTGTTGATTTTTAATATTTGACATATAGGGTTCATTTGCCTATGTGTCATATATCTGTGTACTTAAATGTAAGTGTCATTTATTGACTTTATACAGTGGCGTATAGTGTCACTATACGCAACCACAGGTATTGTTTCCTGTAATCCTCACAGAGGCTGAGTAGACTCTGGTTAGAAACACCGTCTTTATAGGGTTAAGAAGTCCTGGTAACGGCCCCTGGCGTTAAGTATCTACTAAGGACAGGCTACCGTGGGATTCGTACCCAATGGTTGGATCCCGAAGCCTGTAACGTGGCTGTACTGTGTAAGAGCTTCTAAGCCACTCTGTGAGTTGTTAATCTACATGTGTGTCTGCATTGTGCAGCTGATAGAGACACAGAAAATAAGTCTCTCCCTTACACTGTGGTAGTATTTCAAGATTTTAACTTATGATTAGTTTTTCTAAACTATTACTGACTAGACAAAAAACTTCAAACTTAGAGATACGGATACATAGATTCAATAGAAAATTTCAACACCATCGATTTGCTTTTAATGAGTCAGCACATATTTGTTGCATTCCACTCTGTTCTATCATGGAGATGAAGATGCATATGTGTGCAGCTGTGAAGAGATTGGGGCAGCCCTCAGGTCATATGGGGCATCAGAAAGCAGCCAAGGATGATGGGCTTCCATGTGATTTGTGGGTAACTGCCCAGATGTGAGGACATGAGCATAAGCATAATCAGCATACAACACCTGGAAGAAAGATGGAGCTGACCAGGCTGTGTGAGGGGATTTAGGAGAAAGCGTTGTAACTGCTTTGTAGTGGAGGCCACAGCACCGACGCCAAATGTGATTTTGAACTGCCCTGTGGCTTCCCTTCATTAGAATGGGTAATGAAGATCGGCTGTGCTTCACGTATAACTTGTGGAAGTGTAGAACACGTTTCCTTGGTTATTTTTAAAGAGTTTTTATAAATCATAAATTGCTACAGATTCTCAATTCCATGTGTAATTCTTTTCCTATTTATGTGTTAGTTTGTGACTTGTATAAACAGCAGAAAATGGTGGACCAAGTGGTTCTTGAAAAGTAAGGCCAAAACTTGATGTTGCATATATTGTTAACCAAAATCAATGTGTATTTACTGCCTGCTTTGCCTTTCTGATTCAGGTGAAGTATTTGATTACTTAGTTGCCCACGGAAGAATGAAAGAGAAAGAGGCCCGCGCAAAATTTAGGCAGGTATGGAAAGTGGTTTTCAACTTTGCTTTGCTGGTATTTTCAGTGATGTGCAACACGTAGTGTCACAAACAACTTTGAGCATACATGGGGTTTTGTTTTTAAAGGAAAAATTACCCCTTTTTCCTACTTTTTAAGAATGGAAAATTCCCAGAGCAGAAACCCGTTTTTCCTGAATTTTACTAATAGTAGTGCAAATGGGGATTTTGAGACTGTCATGAATGGTAACATTTTGTAAGTTAGACACAGTGTTTCCCTTTGAGTCTTGAACCCAGACCAGACTAAGGTGGAGAAGAAATTCTCAGTCCTTTGATGCAGCCAGAAGCTGTTATCAAGTCCTATTGGTTTTGTGTGTGCATTACATATGTGTGCTGGTCAAAGAAGATGTTGTATTGTTTTCTTCTCTAATTAAATATATGTTAGTTCTAGAATTCACCTCAGACTTGAAGAATATGGTCAGTTTTATTTAGCCATGTATGTGAAGAAAGTGCAGGTATGCAGGTGATGGTGGTAGGACACTCCCATTTCCGGTTTAGCATCATCATGACTCACTGTAGAAAGGACAAAGTGAGAGAAGGTGATTTTTTTAAACACATTTAGAATTTTAATTTTTGCAACTTAACTAGGTCTACTTTATTTTTTACAAACTTTATAACAAAAAAAAAACTTGGGTATAAAAAAAATCACACATCAAAATTAACTAGTCCCAACGTTTATACATGTCAGTGAACTTGTATAGTCAGAGGAGCCATTCAGAATTGTGATGCTTCACACTGGATTTTACACTTGGATATATTTTAGGTACTTACAGACACCAAAAATGAAAGCTCTGTGACAGAGCGAGTTCTGTGAACTAGAAAAGGAGTTATCTTTGTACCCTCTCAGGACTCATGTCTGTCACCTTCCTGCACTCCCTCCTTCTTCACATCCTCGTATTTAGCCTTTCTTGTTCTCTTTTCCTTGTGTACCCACAGGAATGTTTGTTTACACATATACATATATTACTGGCTTGAGTACAAATATGAGGGAGAACATGCAGGGTTTTCTTAGGTTGTGTGACCTCACTTAATTTTATACACTCTAACTTCATCCATTTTCCAGTAAATTTTGTTGTTTTTTACATTTTTCTTCAGAGCTGAATAGTGCTCCATTTTTAATGTATACCAAATTTTCATTAACCAGTCATCTGTTGTTGGACAACTAGATTGAAAAAATAACTATACTTTATAAATTACTACAGAAATGACTAGTGAGTTGTGAATTATCCACAAACTGTGCTGAAGCAAGGCTTCGGTGGTGTGTTATCTCCTAGACTTGCCCTTAGTGGACTAAGATTGTTTATTTTAAAGTGAGTTAGCTCTTCATCTGTGAACATTACATGGGTTCTGCAATTATAAGCATTCTGTAATCTGTTTGTTTGGGCACAAAATGTTTCTATAAGGTCTTTCTCTATAATAGCTTTCCATGGAGGCTAATTAAACAGTCCTCATCAGGAGAATGAAGAAGACAGTCCATGCCACTCTTTGACCCAACCTTCCAAAGTGGTTGTGTAGTGGCTTTATAAGCCTCTGTTACTCAGATACTCAAAATAGTAGGTGGGGGATCTACCTGGCTCAGGGAGCAAAGGCACCTGCTACCAAGGCCGAAAACCTGAGTTCAGTCCCTGGGGCCTACGTGGAGGATGGGCAGAACCAACTCCTGAAAGCTGTCCTCTGACCTCGACACACGTGTCACACTCAGGAGCTTGCTGCAAGCCCATGTACTAAACACATGTATGTGTGTACACACACGTGCGCACACACTCGCGTGCGCGCGCGCACACATACACACACACAGAGAAAATGGTGGATCGATGGCAGTTAATATTCAAGGCCCTCCCTGCTGCAGGGAGCTGTTTCTGTACTCAGTAAGCTCTGCTTGCTTGCCTTTTAAGACAACTAAATAAACACTTACCCTTTTTCTCTTTTCTTTTCTTAGCCTCTTTGTAGAAAGGTGTCCTTAGTGGAAAGGCTTTGTGTTATGAAAGTGTGCTGTCAGCCATTGTGGTGACTGGAAGCAGAATAAGATTTAGGTTATAATCTGGAGCCCTAGCCCCCCTCCCAAATAAACATACTTACCTATGTTTATGATTTTTATATAAGCAATTAAAGAATGTACTACATTAGCAAGGATCTATAGATTCATGCCCTTGAATGGAGCTATTCAGCTTAAAATCATTAAAGACAGCACAGTTTAAAATCATTTTAGTAACCATTGACAATACAGTGCCCCTGCAAGCTATGAAGATATGCAACCATATTATATATATGTACATATAATATACATATATGTATTATATACATATGTATGTGTGTATAATAACCTATATTTATACATATATGCACTTATATTTATATTTGTAACTTATATTTTATACACACACGCACATGTAATAGTTTTGGGGCTAGAGAGATGGCTCAGCAGTTAAGTATGCTTACTTGGCAGCCAGAACACTGTAGCACCCCTTCACTGTCATACAAGTTTTTGAGTATACAAGATAGCACTGTTACCAGCAAGTTCCTGTCACCCAGTGTAAAAAGTAGCCTGGTCCTCTGAACACTGTTACCTATATAGTATATCCAGAAAATACACATGCAAATGTATCTTGTGGCTAACAGACATAATTGAGTGAATTTTTAGAACTTTGCAGCTCCATACCCCAGAATCTTAGAAACTTTGATTGTTCTGTTCTGCTGTGTGTGGGACTCCTGCTTGAAGCTGCCCATAGCATTTTCATCTTGCCCCAAACGTTTAGTGGCTGCACAGTGCTTACTTGCTGTGGAGTCCAGAGACTTACCACGCTGTCTCTCAAAGCATGATTCCACCAGCTTTGCTCCCTCGACATTAACCCATCTCATCACTTTACCCTCATTCTCTCGTGTCAAACATCTCAACTGCTCCTGTCCTTCAAGGATACCCTCAACCAGTGGCACCTCCTTCAAGAAGCATTTCTGGTGACAGTCATTCTGTTTCAAAATCCCTCACTTCTCTATACCTCTGCCTCTTTGGGTCTACCTTGTATTATAGTTAGTCACATTCTCTTCTTAATGAAATTGTAAGCTTTGTGATGGCAAGGCTCATGTAGTGTTTATTTTTTTACTCTCCCAGGAACAAGCACATAGCAGGTACTCAATAAACTGACGTGCATCAAATGACTTTCATTGAATTATTTATTCAGTGTATGTTAGTGGGGTTTTTTTTCACATTCATGTCTTGTCTTTGAACCATTTTAGCATACGTTTGAATAATTTTCTAACCCTGAAATGCCACTTTGACTCTATTTTAAATTCCTTTCCTCTTCATTCCTATTAACACAGCTATTCTTCATACCGCCATTAGATGTTCAGAAACCTCTTTTCTGTCTCCATTTGTGAATGGCTACCCCGTGTCCACACTGGGTTTACATTTAACTGACTCCCCAGCTCTGCACTAAAATGCACCAGCTAGAATTACACATTACGCATTACAAGGTAGCTCTTTATCGATTGCTACTGGGTAAAGAGTTATCATAGAAAAGCTTATAATCTCTCTCTCTCTTTTTTTTTTTTTTTTGTATTTGAGGCCTTTACATTGGCCCTTGTCTGGCCCTTGTCCCCAGAGTCTTACACACTGATTAAAGGCTGCAGAATGTGTGTGCACTGCACAGTGCTTTGCTAAACTAGGGGCAAGTGCAAAAGTAGCCTGTATCTCAGTTCTTGTTTGTTTGTTTGTTTGTCTTTTTGAGGGCTAGTTACTTTTCTGTTTCCTTATATTAGAGCAGAAAATATGAGCTGTTGTTAAATGTTATTGATTAGTTCTTGATAAATTAATATGCCTTGAGCAAATGTGATGTAATCCCAAATGATGCAGCTTTAACTCCAGTCAGCTGTCTCAAATGCTAGTTTGCATGTGTAGCAGTCTTTTGACATTGTAGTAAACCCTTGTTCTAAACTACAGATCATACACTTTGACTCATGTAAACAGAAATTTAATTTGTATAGAGAATTTCCATGGATATTGACCAAAAAAAAAAAAGATAGTATGTTTTCCCAAAAGAATATTACTTCCCACATGTAGAAGTTTCGTCTCTTTAATAAGCATAGTGTTCTAAATCATGAAATTGCTATTATTTTTCAATCAATGTTAGTACTTACCTAAATTAAAAGTGATAATTATGAAAATCAAGTATTGAACCATAAAATAATTTTGACTTTTTATCCAAATATTTATTTCAGATTGTGTCTGCTGTACAGTATTGTCATCAAAAATGCATTGTTCACCGTGATCTTAAGGTAAGCTTCTGCTTTTAAAATCACAATCTTAATTATGAAAATGTGAAATAATAAGGGGGTGGCAGGGGGGAATGGCTTGACAAGTAAAAGCCCTTGCTTTGCAAGGATGAAGACCAGGGTTCAAATCCTCAGCACTCGCCTGATAAACCTGGTGGGGCTGTGCATGCCCATAGCTGCAGCATTTGGAGGCAGAAGCTGGTATAGATCCTGGCAGCTCCCTGGCAGCCAGCCTAGCCGAAACAACCAGTGCCAAGTCAGTGAGTGCTTCTGTCTGAAGAGAATGAGGCAGAGTGTGATACAGCAGGGTACCAGATGTGCTCCTCTGGCCTCCACACAGGTGCACACATCATTACCTGTATTGTCATACACACACTTAAAAATTTGTCATAATAAAATTAGGACCACCTCTTCCATTACCCAGCATTTTAGACACAGGATGGGTTGTTTTTTATAGGATTGTCACCATAGCTTATGAAAGGCACCATATTCACCTAGTACGTGAAAATGTGGGCATGACGCTATCCAACAATAGAGTTAGAGGACTTCATTGCCTGTTAGCTAGCATGTTTCAGATAGATAAACACGGAATTCTGTCCTCACCTGTAAATAGTCAAGGTCCTATCTAGACAAGTGATAGCACAATAAATATATGTTTGCCACATGTAAGAATCAGGGTTCTTTCTCAGCTCTGATGTTCAAAATGAGAAGAGGGCTTAGTATGAGTATGTGTTGGTTAGTTTTTTGTCTACGAGACACTAGCTAGTCTTTTGGGAAGAGGGACCCTCAGCTGAGAAAATGTCTTCATCAAAGTGCCATGTAGGCAAGCCTGCAGGGCATTTTCCTGATGAATGTTTATGCGGGAGGACCTGTCCTCTGTGGGCAGTGCCACTCCTGGTTGACTGGTCCTAGGTGATATAAAATAACAAACTGAGTGAGTCATGAGGAGCAGGACAGTGAGCAACGCCCTCCATGGCCTCTGCTTCAGTTCCTGCCTCTAGGCTCCTGATTGGAGTTCCTGCCCTAACTCGGTGGACTGTGACCAGGGATATGGAGGCTAACTAAACCCTTTCCTCAGAGTTGTTTTTGTTCATGGTGTTTGCCACAGCAATAGAAAGTAAATGTTGAGATGAGAATACTTTGGAATAAGATGTGTGGTAGAAATGGCTATGGTCAGACAAGATTCAAAAGCTTGGGCTTAAGTCTGTCTGTCTGTCTTTTTTTTTTTTTTTTCTTGCCCTTTTCTTCATTATCCAGCATCTTCTATTTTCCTTTTTAACTTTTGTCATTGCTTTTATCCATTACTTGCATCAAATTTGGGTTCTATTTAAATGTAATGCTTTATACAGTGGTCAGAAATCTAATTCTATGTTTTGCTTCTATTCTTCTGACCTGTATACTGGTCCAGATGTTTCTGTATCAGTTCTCCTCTTGGGATTTTTTTTAAGGGGAAGTCATTTCTACAAAGAAAAGGGGTGGGCAGTTACCCCATTTTTTTGTTTGATTCATAGCTTAACATCTCATTTTTATATTTAAAAAATCACATTTAACAACTCTGTGTTTAGTCCAGCCCAATAGAGAGCTTCCCACATATGCCTGGACACAGACGCCAGGATTATTGCTGGTCTCTTTGGAGGCAGTGTCCTCACTTAGATTTCCATCCAGACCAGCGGTTCTCAACCTGTGAGTCATGATCCCTTTGGAGGTCAAATGACCCTTACACCGGGGTCACATATTAGATGTCTTGCATATCAGATATTTACATTACAATCATAACTAGTGGAATTAAAGTTATGAAGTTGCAATGAAAATAATTTTACGGTTGGGGTTACCTCAACATGAGAAACTGTATTAAAGGGCCACAGGTTGAGAATCCCTGATACACTGTTCCGGAGAAACTGGAAAAACTACCTTACTGCAGATGGCCAAGGAGACTTGGGCCCTTATAACAGGAAGGCATATTTTTGTTATTCTTAGCCCATAAATGCTGATTTAATGTTACTCTTCCAGATTCGTTCATTTTCATAGTATCTGTGTCCACTTCTATTTGTTGATTAGTTGGTTAGGTTTTTGGTTTCTTTTTGTTTGGTTTTAGTTGTTTTTTTTTTTTTTTTTTTTTTTTTTTTTTTGGTGGAGGGGAGGCTTGCTTGCATTTGGGTTTTTCGAAACAGTATCTCACCATGTAGCTAGCCCAGGCTGGCCTGGAACTTGCAATCGCCTGCCTCAGCTTCCCCAGTCTGAGACTATAGGTATGAGCACAGCCTGGGCCGGCGTCCCCATAGGCCTTCCCAGATGACTATAGACTTGGTCAAGTTGATAGTTAACATTAGCCATCATTGTTGTAGTTACACTTTTCACAAATACGAGGTAAGCTAGAACACCACAAAGGGACAAAGAAAAGAGGGGGGACTTGGAGGAGAGAAAGACATGTGATGGGCCCTCCAGTGAAGCACAAGGCTCTCTGATCTTCATCTTGGTCAGTCTTACTTCTTTTTTACTCCGACAAAGCACATCTGCATACCAACCTGTAGCTTTATTGGTCTCTTTATTCATCAATTGAAAACAGAATTTGAAGTGAAGCATGCACAAAGCAAGTCTCATTAAGTTGATTGCTTTTAAAGAAGGTATTTCCATTTTTATCTCTGGGCAATTGTTTTAGAATTTTTGCAAGAGCCTCTCAAACATGGGAACATAGGCCTTGCTTTCTGCAGAATCTGACTTTAGACAAGAGTCTACTTTTAGAACAGCAAATAAATAAGTAAAGTCTGTGAGAGCCAAATTGTTGCAGTTTGTTTCCTTTCACTAAACAGTTAAGGGCACATTATGTAGGGAGGACAGACAAGTGAGTTCAGAGCCACAGAACCCTGGCTGGCAATCATCTTAGTCATGTCCTGGAGCCTAGCATCACCTACCTGTTAAATGGTGCTCCCCTGGTTAAGGCCTAAATCTGAGGCAAAGCAGTGATTTCAATATATGTTCTGTAGATTAGTCCTGTTGTGATATGGTTCTAAGAGGCCTCTTACCATGAACTTAAAAATGTTTAAAGTAAACTTTTTGGGGGAAATGTGTTTATAATTCCTATGAGTTCTCCTTTTTTTTTTTTTTTTTTGAGTGTTAAAATTCAGTCTTCCACAGATGTTGTTTGGACAGCTAGCTATACAGTGCAAAATTAGATCCTACATTTTTAAGTGAGAGGCATGCACTAGCAAGCTTAGAATCTGAAACAAGTAGAGCAGACATTTTTATTTTGTGTACGCTTTTACATTGTCCTTTTTATTATTTTCCTCTTAGGCTGAAAACCTTCTCCTTGATGCTGATATGAATATTAAAATTGCTGACTTTGGTTTTAGCAATGAATTCACAGTGGGGAACAAATTGGACACATTCTGTGGAAGCCCGCCTTACGCTGCCCCGGAGCTTTTCCAAGGCAAGAAGTACGATGGGCCGGAAGTGGATGTGTGGAGTCTGGGCGTCATTCTCTACACGCTGGTCAGTGGCTCCCTGCCTTTTGACGGCCAGAATCTAAAGGTATCTGTCCGTTTCTGTCCGCTTGGTGCTGAAGCCCTTATCCCCAAAAGCCGTAATGTCAGCCGATACTTAAAATCCTTTCCTTCTCTGTCAAAGGAGCTGCGAGAGCGAGTCCTGCGGGGGAAGTACCGTATTCCCTTCTACATGTCCACGGACTGTGAGAACCTCCTGAAGAAACTGCTAGTGCTGAACCCCATAAAGAGGGGCAGCCTGGAGGTGAGCGCGCGGTGTGTTCCTGAGCCTAACCGCTGCGGGCGTGGCTCCTGTGTTGCCGCAGAGCGTGGTCCCTGTGTTTGCCCCTCCTCTAATTTGAAAAGTGACGCTCTTTATTCAGAGACCACAGTAGGTCTCTCCAAAGGATTATTTCTTGGTTCTTTGGGGAGTTATGAAAACTGACACAATGGAGACAAAGTTGACTTTTGAAGAGGCTAGACCTAGCCTTTGTCAGAAACTACCTGGTCCAGAACAAAAGCCTTTATGTTAATTAAGATCCACTAAATATTTGAAGGTTGAAGCTGACTGATAATTCTAGCCCAGGGAATTCTTCTCTGTCTGAAATCACAGGAAACAAAGTCTGTAACAGAAACTTCAGATCAGAAAATGTGCAGATACATGACAAGTAGGGCATGGGACAGGTGCCTCTCACTTAGCACACTGCTGTTGTCCGTACACATTCTGTACAGCCCCATTTGACGTGGCCTAGCTGCAGAGGGTCTTGTAACCCAGACTACCAGTCTCTTCCTTTTTGACCTGTAATTAAGATAGCAGATTATCTTAAGCATTTTCCCCATCTGGGTTTTCTTTGTTTCTTAAAGGCTTTTATTGTTTGTTTCCTTTTGTTTGTTTGTTTAATGTTTATGACTGTTTGCCTGTATATATGGGAATTACATACATGCAGTACTCTAGAGACCAGAATAGGGTGACTAATGCCTAGAACTAGAGTTAAGATGGTTGTGAGCTGCCATGTGGGCCTGGGAACCAACCCAACCTTCGAAAAGTGATTTTAGTCTCCAGGCCATCCCTTTAGCACCTTCACATTTTTCTCCAGGAATATTTTGGCCTGTGTTAAGAAAATGTCAGAGACTCGGTACCCATTCCTCACTTGGACTTTTAAAGTCTTCTCACCCTCGTGGGATGGACAGGGAACTTAGTGACGTTTCTGTATGGTGTAATTTCAGAGCGGCTTTCTGGCACATACACCAAGAAGTGGGCCCAGCCCTGGAAAGCCAGCCCTGCTCACCGTGCGCAGCTCAGCTTGGCTGCATAATTCTATTTCCACACATGATTTTTCTAAAAGACACAGTATGTTTGGTAGAAGTTAAAGGACTGGGAAATTACTAAGTACTTTACGGGAAAGGATCAATTGGGGTTTTGTTTGTTTGTTTTTACTGCGCTGTTTAAATGTGGTTAGCATTTGGCTCAGGTTTTTTGTGTTCTTTCTTTTGGGGTGAAAAGACATATTAATATTGACATCTGTAGTAAAGAAAGCCCATTTCTGTATTACTGCTTTTCTCAGCTTGCTTCCAACCATTCATAGAAAAGTGTGTTATTGCTCAGAACAGAAAACCACTGACTTAGTTCCGAAGCACTGGAACTTCAGAGAACATCAGCCTCTCCTCTTCCTGCTCTGTGCCCCCTCCCCCGTTTTTAAGATTGACTTAAATCATATTTATGTATATGGTGCATGCGTGAGTGTCATTGCTGGCAGAGCCTAGAGGTGTTGGTGGTATGCACTTTTATTCAGAGCCCCCTTCATCTGCATGTCAATAGCATTCCCAGAGGTGCCAGAGCAGCTCATGTAAGGGCAGAGTAGAAGGACAGAAGCCACCTGGGGAGCCAGTGCTTAAAACCTCTGGGCTGCTAGTACAAACAGATGTGCTTCCCTCAAAGAGGACTAACTTACAGTTCTACATTTTGGCCAGAATAGTTAGCCACGTGCTTTACTCTCTCATTCTTAACATTAAAAGGATGAAACATTTTCAGACCTCATGCTATAGGCTTATAAACCCAGCAACTGAGGAAGAGGTGAAGATCAAGACCAGCCTCAGCAACTGAGTCCCTGTAGCTCAGTGGTAGAGCCTTTGCCTGCCACACACAGGGCCTTAGGTACAAGCCCCAGTAGTGTGAAACACTGAATATTAAAGTACTAGAGTGCATGGATTTGAATTTAAAAGCCAAATTATTATTCAAAAATTTGATCTTGCCATAACAAATCCATATTTTCTATAATATATACTACTGCTAACAATGATGATTAGAATTTTTTAAAGATTTTTTTAAATTTTATGTATATGGGTATTGCCTGCCTGAATTATTTATATATATATATATATATATACACACACACATATATGTGTATATATGTATGCATATGTGTGTATGTATATATATATACATATATATATATATGTACGTATGTATGCACCACATGCATGCCTGATGCCATGGATCTCCTGGAACTGGAGTTATGAGCTGCCAGTCATGAGCAGACAGTCATGAGCTGCCATATGGCTGCTGGGAATTGAACCTGTGTTCTCTAGAGATGCAGCCAGTGCTCCTAACCACTGAGCCATTTCTCCAGCCTGAAGATTAGGTTTTTTAAAAATACTTGGTGTTCAGAAGTTTCAGTTGATATACTTGAGTATGGTCTGTGTCAAAGCCATTTCAGCCCCAGAACGGTGAGTTCATGTCAGAAATATACTATTGTATACTTGACTATACACACTGCTCACAGATCCCTGAAACGACAGTCCAGAGAAGCTGGATGCCACTTTTTTATTTAAAATTTTCATACAATATATTTTGACCATATTCTTTTCTACCAGAAGCTCCTCCCCACCCACTCAATGTTATGTTTTTTTTGTCTCTCTCCCACAAACATGCATGCATACACACACACACACACACACACACTGACACACAACAACAACACTAAGGAAAAAAAGTCAAAGCAAACAAAAACAGTAAGACCAAATCAAAATAAACAGCGACAAGAAAACATGGAGTATGTTTTATGTTGGCCAACTGCTCCTGGGCATGGGGCCTGACCTGGAGTGTGCTTGATGTGGTCCATAACACTCCATTGGAGATAAATAATCTAATAATCTTCCCTTTCCCAACAGCTATCGCTTGCAGATATCTTCTTGGCTAGGTGTGGGACTTTATGTCCACTTCCCCTTCACCAAGCTGGATTCTGTTTGGTTTGAGCCTGTTCAGGTCCATGCTACCATAGTCTTTGTGAATTCTTGTGTATCAGCCCTATTTCCTTTTAGTCATCCACCACCTCTGGTTCTTACAGTCCTTCTACTTCCTCTTCTGCATAGATCCCTGAGCCTTGAGGGGAGGAGTTTGATAAAGATGCCCCCTTTTAGGACTGAGTACTCCTAAGTCTCACTCTGCATATTGTCCAATTGTGTTAATTACTATCTACTACAAGGAGAACCTTCTCTGGTGAGGGCTGAGTGATGCTCTTATCTGTAGCAGTATGTCATTAGAACTAATTTTATTGCTGTATTTCTTTAGCAGAATAATAATAGGAGCCTTTCCCCTAGGCCCATGACCTATCTAGTCTCAGGTTCTTGGCTACTTTAGAAGTGTCATATGTGGGTACCATCTCATAAAGTGGGCCTTTTTAAAGGTGGTTGGTTACTCCTATAACACTTGTACCACTGTCGCACTAATGTGTCTTGTCCATTCTTTAGAGAAAGGTTTTCTTACAGCAAACCTTAAGAAATCCCCCTTGAGGTATCAGTGGTCTCAGGAATTGTCTTACATGATCTTCATTTTTATGATGATGATAATGTAGCGTAAACATATATTGGGAAAGAGGGGTAGGGCAGGGCAGGGCAGGGTGGGGCAGGGCGGGAATCAGTTCTTATTGGCTGAGGTCTTCCTCCTGGCCACCAGCAAATTGCTCAGCTCCTTCTGCTCTTTGTCACTTTGTGGCCCTTGTTGAGGCCCATGGCCAGGGGTAGCACAGGGTCATAGCTGAGGACAACATGGTTTTGGGGGTGTCTTAGTTTGGGTTTTATTGCTGTGAAGAGACACCATGACCAAAGCAGCTCTTATAAAGAGAAACATTTAATTTAGGGTGGCTTACAGTTTCAGAGGATTAGTCCATTATCATCATGGCAGGAAGCATGGTAGTGTACAGGCAGACATAGTACTGGAGAAGCCAAAATTTCTACATCTTGATGCAAAGGCAGCAAAAGGGGACTGTCTCATACTAGGTGTAGCTTGAGCATATATGACCTCAAAGCCTGTCTTCAAAGTGACACACTTCCTCCAAGGCCACACCTTCTGATAGTGCGTATGGGCAAGCATTTAAACACATGAATCTATAAGAGCCATACCTATTCAAACCACCACAGAAGGATAAGACAGTGGGCTGAGGCCAGGCTACTGTTGTCCGTGCACACATCCATCTCTCTCTGAAGTGCCCTGTGAGACTGGAAACCCTGATGGCTGAGCACAGATGACAACAGATGCTGCTGCAACTTCATTTTTATTTTTTAATAATTTTTATAATTTTATTTTTATGTGTGTGACTATTTTGCCTGCATAGATGTCTGTACATCCATGTGCTCATGTGCATGCCTGGTGCCCATGGTTGCCCACATTGAATCCCCTAGAGCTAGAGTAATCACAGATGGCTCTAAGCTCCATGTAGGTACCGGGAATCAAAGGAATTCCTCTGGAAGAAAGGAGGGATCTTAACCACTGAGCCAGCTCTCCAGCCCTTTGTACAGTTACAGTTAGGAAGCTTTACGTTGTATATGGGGAAGGGATCTGTAATCTGTTTTTTTTAAACTGCTATTTCAGAACAGTCCTCGGTGTATAAACTCAGCCAGTAGTAAAGGTTTAGCTGCATACTTGTTATAGGTCTTCTTTACATAGTCTGGATACTAACTCCTTACCCAGCTGGAGCCCACCAGCTGGACACTATGGACAGTTCCCTCTGGATTGTCTTTTACAGCCCAGGGCCGATCTTCACAGCATCAGGTTATTTGATTGTGGTAATTTCACCAATACCTGTTTTCACCTTGAGTGTTACCTAATTTATGATTCTGAACTTTAATCTTTACTACCATTCTTCCCCATATTCTTTGAGTTACCTGGATTGACTAGCCTAGATTTCCATCCCCCAAAATCTCCTTTCTAAGGAGTGAGATTTTAAAATAAATGCATGAAGATAAGAAAAAATCTTATTAATCTTATATATGAAAATATGAAGCAAAAGTTAAAGTCAGGTTCTCATGTTAAAACTTGCAATTTGGAAATACTCCTTTCAGAGGGATGTGGAAATAGTGTTATTTGGGCATTACCTTTGGTGAATAGTGGCTGATATAGTTGTGATAAGATTCTGAGTTCCTAGAGACTCACACCTCCAGTTGGACCATTAATTAAGGAACATAGAGTATCTTTATTTGAAAGTATTGTCTAATTCTTGTTGAGTGAAACAATAAATTTCACATTTGAGGAATGGGTTGAGTATTGTAATTTACCAAACATGACTCAGAGTTTCTCTCTTAGCAAATCATGAAGGACCGATGGATGAATGTTGGTCATGAAGAAGAAGAGCTAAAGCCATATTCTGAACCTGAGCTCGATCTCAGTGATGCAAAAAGAATAGGTAAGTGTTGGAATTCCGTGAGAAGCACTGCCGTAGACTACAGGTGAGAGTCCTGTAGCCCTGCGCAGTAATGTTTACATAGGACTTTCTTATTTTAAAACAGGTGCATCGCCACCAGAATGCCACACTAGACACTAAAGTACCGAGTTCTGTGGTTTGTTCTCATGTGTGTACCTGTGGTTCTGCTCAGTTTTTGGCAACTGTAACCCAAGTTAAAATAATAGACAAACATAATTTGTTCTTTCTCTTCTCCCTCTCTGGAAGAATGAGCACTGTAACTATTTGCCCTGAGCAGACTGAAAAGTATAGTAAAGTTCAGGGCACTCTGAGTTCCAAGCCTGCGGCATGTTGCTCCTCCCTTTCTGCTCTGCACTCCTCAGTGGAGTCCACCCTCTCTGCTCCAGTCCTCAATAAGAACTTGATAGGAGCATTGTGGGAGTCAAGCCTTAAAAGAAAAACTGAGAACTTCAGATGAAAGGAAGTAGAGATTCTTAAACTGAGATATCGGCCTCTTCATGAGTGGCCGAGGATGTGCTAACAGAGACAGCAAAGATAGAGAAGAGGGGCCATTATGTGGGCTAAGACAATGCAGACCTTGCTTGGACAAATGAAGTCCACTCAGAAGTGTCCCAGGATATGAGAAATTGTGAGGATATATTAAATCCAAATCACAAAAAAATTAGAAGATGTGGCTGGAGAGGTGGCTCAGCAGTTAAAAGCACTTGTTGCTCTTATAGAAGATCCAGGTTTAATCCCAGCACCTAGATTGTGGCTAACAACCAACTATAGCCCCAGTTCAAGGGGAACTATTCCCTATTCTCACATCTACAGGCACCAGGCATGCATGTAGTGCACATAGACACATGCAGGCAAAACTCTTAGTTAAAATAAATAAGTCTGAAAAAGTGATAAAGGTGTAGTATCTGAATGTACTTGCCCTGTAGGTTAATAATCCAAAAGATTTCAGAGTTAAAATTCACTTTGAATGTATATATTTGCTGATCACTTACTAAATAGTTATATTTCAAGAAGAAAAAATTCTTTTTTTTTTTTTCAGACATTATGGTCACTATGGGTTTTGCACGAGATGAAATCAATGATGCCTTAGTAAGTCAGAAATACGATGAAGTTATGGCTACTTATATTCTTCTAGGTAGAAAACCACCTGAAGTAAGTTTTTTTTTCTCTTTTTAAATTAATATAAATTAATTTTTAATTAAATGGATAAAGATATGTTGCTAAATGTATTCAGGTCTTTTTGTGACCAAAATAAAATAATGTGAAATAATGTGAAATAATGAAAAATAATGTGAAGATCCTAACAGTCTTACAAGAGATTGGAAGTGGAGGCGCTGAATTGGTCACAGATCTCATTAGGGATGCGCAGGCCACTGCTCTGCTTGGCCCCAGCAGCTCCACCTGCAGTCGTGACTCTGAGCCTGTGTCCCCAGAGTTGTATGGTGCACACTGTGCAGCCAAAGGCATATGATAATCATGAAGGTACAGAAACAAAGAGAAGCATGTGTGTCTGCAACCACATAGATATATGAGACCCCAGAGAAAGATGCTTAATGAATTGACCTTGTGTCAAGTGGCTTTTGTGCACTCTGCTAGGAATTCTCATAGCCATCAGAAGTCCATATTAAGGAGATGAATGCAGGAAATAACTGTTTGCAAGTAGTAACCCATTCAAGTAAATAATCCTTTGAAAAAGTAGCTACAGAGGAATAAATAGAACAGAGGCCAAAGCATTGAAAGTTGAAAATTAGACAAATGTGAGAGGCATTCTGTAAAAAAGGGATATAATTATCCATAAACAAATAGTAGCTATGAACAAAATCATCATCTAACTGAAATGTATCGACCCTGCCTTCCCTCAGAAACTATGCTAATACCATGAGGGAAAGGCTGGGAATCTTTCCTGCCCAGCAGCCCTGGGTGCAAAGGCAGGCAGCCAGCAGCACTGTTCATTATGGAGTGTGCTGCAGACACCGTGGGAGTGCCCTGGGAGCTGGCACCCACAGCAGGCTAGGATCAAGTCCATCCTGGGGACCCACGTGCTGGGAACAGGGAAAGCTAATGGCACCTGGTGACCCATGGGAGGTGGCTATGCCCTGATTTCTCACAGGCAGCTGTGTGTGTAAGGTGGCCTGTCAGGAGAAGGGTGTGAGCTTCTCAGGGGCAGATGAGAAGTCATGGGAGGAGATTCCTGTTGGTGTTGGATATAAAGATCTGGATTTGGAGAAAGAATTTGATTAATGTTTGGGAGTTGTTATCAGAGGAGTGTGTATCTCTTCTAAAGATGTCACAAGTATTAATTCATCTGACCCTCTCAACAAACTCTGAGCAGGTGTAATAACTTCTAGGGACAGGGAGGCCTAGTCAAGAGAGTTCAGTGGGAATGTCCAATAGGTATTTTTAGTCTCTTCTACTTGGACTTCAGGTGACCACAGGGCACTTTAACTTTCTTAGTAATTCAAATACAAAGTTGCAAATATGTTAAAATCAAGTTATAGTGGAAGTAAATTACTGAAGCTGCTATGAATGGAAAGAGTCGTGTTTACTGCCCCTCTGCTAGAGACACTAACTATGAACTTCATTTTCGGTGCCTCAGTTCTCTTACCTGTAAAGCTGGACAATAATACTTAGCTCTTAGGGTCGTTGAGAAGATTACTATGGGGCTGGAGAGATGGATCAGTGGTTAAGAGCAGTGCCTGTTCTTCCAAAGGTCCTGAGTTTAATTCCTAGCAACCACGTGGTTACAACCATCCATAGAGAGATCTGGTGCCCTCTCACATGCAGGCAAAACACTATATAAAAAATAACAAATAAATAAACCTTTTTAAAAGATTATTATGTTAATCCTTAACACTCTTAGAGTAGTTGCTAATGGAGCACTGCTCTGTAGCCCTGCTGCTGTAATCAGTAGCCTCAGTGTTGCTGTTTGATGTGGACAGCCTGACTTCCACTGCCATGCCAAGGGTTGACTTAGAACTAGCAGCAGCACAGTTTTCAGATTACAGAAAGAGGCTGTGTGTCAACTTCCAGCTTACCATGGTTGGGGCTAAGAGAAGTCATTTTCTGATCAGAGCCAACAAAACAAATATTGTTTTATAAATGCAGAAGCGCAAACAAAACAGTTTAATTCAGAATAGAGAATATACTTATTTTTATAGTTTCTATGTGTATATGCATATATGTACATTTCGATACACATGTAGATACATATGTGTAATATGTAAGATTTTAGATTTTATTCTGCTTGAATCCCAGGGACTTCCTTGATCTTGTTTAGCTTTTCCCACCTGGAAAGTGCAGGCTAAGGCATCACAGGTTTGTAGTGATTTTTAAACAAGTGACACTGTGTACAACACGGTGTCTGCTGTGCGGTCACCATGCAGTGCGTCGTGGCTCTTACTTGATGTTTTGACTAACCTGAGGACTTGTGTGCAACAGCAGGTTGCAAGTGCTGGCGGGGCCTCTTAATGTCTGGCTCTCTCTTCTTTCTTGCCAGTTTGAACTCGGTTTTTTAGTTGATTGCTCCTCATGTAGCTTCAAATCATTTTGTTTATATACCTTCCTGTTTTAAAGGCTGCTTGACCTCTCTTCTCCTAGTTCGAAGGTGGTGAATCAGTGTCGAGTGGAAACTTGTGCCAGCGATCTCGGCCGAGCAGTGACCTGAACAATAGCACTCTCCAGTCCCCTGCTCACCTGAAGGTCCAGCGAAGCATCTCAGCCAACCAGAAGCAGCGCCGCTTCAGTGACCACGGTGGGGAGCAAGTCTAAGAGCAAGAGACCGGCTGGCTCTGCCAGTCTGTGTTGCCAACACACACTTCCATTTCCTCTCATTCCTGGCAGCTTCTCAGACATGTGCCATTGGATGATCATAGGATCTCTGTTTTGGGGACCTGGACTGGTTTTGTAATCAATTTTATCTTAGCTGAGAGTATAAAACATGCAAACATGGATATTTTTAGTGTAGGAGGTTTTTGCAGGCAGTGTATCGATTGTTTTCCAGCTAACCTTGCTTTTTCTACACATTGCAGCTGGTCCCTCCATTCCCCCCGCTGTATCATACACCAAAAGGCCTCAGGCCAGCAGTGTGGAAAGTGAGCAGAAAGAGGAGTGGGACAAAGACACAGCCCGCAGACTTGGCAGCACCACGGTGGGTTCAAAGAGCGAAGTGGCAGCCAGCCCCCTGGTGGGTCCAGACAGGAAAAAGTCTTCAGCTGGCCCGAGTGTGAGTCAGAGCTCTCCTGTATTGCAGCTCGAACTTACGTGTTGCAGGGTTTATTGTAAAATCTTGTCTTTTGTCTTTTTAAATGTTTCTAAATGAATCATAATTTAAAAACCATGAAAAAGGGGCCAAGCTTCTCATGAATGTAATAGAAGAAATGGTGCCGAGAATTCTTTGTTGTTATTGCTGCTGTTTTGAGACAGTCTCTCTCAGTAGCCCAGGCTAACCCAGAATTCATAGCAACAGTAGTCCTCTCACCTCAGTCTCTTGAGGGGGATTATAGACAAGAGGCTCCACCCCAAGCTAACATTCTTAAAGTGATGCATAGCCTAACTTCAAAGCAGTGCCTTAAACCCCCTACTGTTACTCCTGCTTTTGTAATATTTATTTCATGTTTCATTGATGCACTTAATCTTACATTTACAGGTCAACTGCTCTCTGAGAGCAGACTCATTAATAATTTGTCAGTTTCTGTGAAGTCTCTTAAAATGTCACATTCTAGAAATTAAATCGGGACCTAGAAGAGAGGCCACAGTACTGTCCTGTAAGATAGCAGGAAGAATGAGACAGAAAGAAAACAGAGATGGAAGGATGAGAATAGGATAGGTAATATCTAGATGATGGGTGTTTAGGGTAATGCAGGGAGTAGATATGATCCTAATTCCATTGCTACAAATTGTGCAAGTCTTATATCCCCAGTGGAACCTCCTGTGGTGGTTCGTCCACATCTCACCAGCCCACCGTAGCTGTGTCTTACTCATGTCTTAGCCAGATGCTGTCCTGTTTGCTCACTGTCTCCCCATCCTGGCGGTCACCTGTGTGTTGACACAGAGCTTCCTCAGAATCCACAGTGCTATATTTATAATAGTGAGGGCTTAGACTATATTTAACACTGTATCACATTAAATCCAAATTAATGATACTATATTATTTAAAAATTCACATTATTTTTAAAAACCATAAGCCAAAAGATTCTGCCAAAATTTGTAGTTTTCTCTTTCGTGTCTCTTACTTCCCATTCTAAACTTGTAAAATAACTTACGCTAATTTGTTGGGGTGGATCCTTCTGTAGGTTTCTTTTGCTAGAGAAAGCAGACATGAACATAATGTAGCTATTTGTTTCATTTTTTGATAGTTAAGTCAATAGTGTATTTTGTTTTTAGGGTGTGTGTGGTCCTTCTGGACGGGAGCATGGAGATCTTTGTAGTAACTGCATGGTTTAATCAGTATTAACTGACACGTGTCCTGTTTCACTCAGCCTGTCTTTTGGGCTGGTGTGCATCCTCCTACGGTTCTGTTACTCATTTTTTAAGATCTGTTATTTTTACTGATGTGTGTGTGAGCAGTCGCTGCATGTGTGCATGTGTGCAGGTGCTCTCAAGAGGTCAGAGGTCCTGGATTTCCAGGGGCTAAGACTCATGGCCCCTGCGTGGATGCTAAAACTCAGATTCAGAGCTTCTGGTGGAGGACGACTGAGCTATCTCTTCAGCAGACTGAAATACGTTTAAAGCTACACTTGCACAAATTTGCATGTGATTTTTCCCCTTCTGCATCTGAATTTGAGGAAATAGCTGTTAGCTTTCTAGTGATCATACTAAATGAATGTTAGAGTAACTGTATTTTAAGACTCATAAAAGCTAGATTAGGTTGGCAGATATTTTCCATTGGTGAATGAAATAGAGAATGTTTTTAATCTCATTTAAAGTCACTCTTGCAGGGCTTGGGGTGCAGCCCAGGGGTAAAGTGATTGGTAGGCATGTGCAAGACCAGGGGTTGGATCCCCAGCAGTGTAAACAGCAAAGAAACAAAACCACAAAAAAAAAAAAAAAAAGAAAAGAAAAGAAAATCACCCCTGTCTATTTTATTACTGGTAACAAATAGTCAAGGTTTGGCAAGCATGATGGTAGGTGACATGCCAAAGGTCTCCTGTGTGGTAAGGAAAAGAACGCATCTAGCTATCCTTTTTTCTTTCTCCTGTTGGCCCGTGGTGTGTCTCCTGACTCAGGCGTGGGGTTATGGGCAGTGTCCTTAGATTGCAGTGCACAGTCCTCCATCAGCCCTCAGCCAGGGATGCATTGAACCTGGTGCTTTTGTTCTGATGCTGTTCATGAGCTGTAAAGGGTCTGGAAGGATCACCATCTGTGGTTTCCTGTTCGTGCTGAGACTGAGGCATGGGTTAGGGTGCAGACCACCTCTCTGCTATGCCCTTACTCTTTGGGAAAAGTAAAGGAAAGCCGCTTTCCTATTGCTTCCCAGTGCTGGTTGGAATTGTAAAGTAAAACTATTGTAGGTATGGCTTGAGTCCATTTGTTTGTTTTTGCTTTACTTTTTATTTCCAAAATCTAAATATGAGAAAGAAAAAAATGGATTTTGCTTATGTGAGACTATAATCAATTAAAATTATGCTATAAAGTCTTTCTAATATTAACAATTTTAAATTCATTTCTTTGATTTCACACTAATATAGTTACAATTTTTTAATTGTCTTTTTTTTTTCTCCTTCTTCTTAAAGAACAACGTATATTCTGGAGGTAGCATGGCGAGGAGGAATACGTATGTGTGTGAAAGGACCACGGACCGGTATGCAGCCCTGCAGAATGGAAGAGACAGCAGGTGAAGGTCACCACCCAGCAGCAGTGTCTCTGTCACTGCTGCAGATTAGCTTCACTAATGTCTGTAGGTGTATGAGTCACAGAGAAGGACACTCAGAGCAATAAGAGAGCAGTAGCTTTCTCGCTGGAGTGTTGCCCTTGGTGCCAGTGTAGAAGGTGAAAGTGTAGTTAGGGAAGTAAGAAGTAACTTCTCTGACTTCCAAGTCTCTGAATAACATGTGGAAGAGAATATTTCTCAGCCTGCACAATCCCAGTCTGATCCTCGATTTCTTTCTTCTCTCCATGTGTCTCTCTGCCCCTTACCCATCAATGAGCCACAGTATATACAAATACAAAAGTCTTCCTCCCCTTCCTCTAAACAAGTGTGGCCATCTCAACTCAGTGTAGAACCGCAGACTTCTTAATGAGTTTTACTGTAGTTGGAAAAACTACTCGTTGTACCTCAAAAGGATGAGGCCCCTGTTGTGATGAAACTGTATTCTCAGCTCCAGCCATTCAGTGGAAGGACAGTCCATCCTTACATTGCTTTCTTTTCATTTAGCACAGGAGGTAGTATTGTGAGAAAGCACACAGACATGTGGTGGCTTCCTGAGATATGACAGCCTATAGGTGTGAGAGTTGGAAATTGATTTCCAATTTACTATGTCTCCTCTACCAAGTACTAATCTAGCTCCTCGTGTCATAGTGGTTAGCCTGTTGCTCATGATGTGCATGGACACTTGTAAGCTGAAGGAGCTGCTATCTGCAGTGGTGTTTGTCATATGAGTTCTTTGTGCTTAAATGATGTAGGCAGTTAGAGCAACACGTCATAGAACTAATCTTAGCATAAGTGAAAAATGGCTCCAGCAGTAATCTTCTGCTTTGTAGCTTTCACCCATCCACAGATATGCCCTCCTTCTCAGACTCACACACAGAACAAAACTCAGAGCCTTAAATGGAGAGCGGTTTAATTAATCACTAAGAATGTGCTTGTTTCTTTCAAGTGTTTCAGCCATGACAGTGTCAACTGAGTGAGAGTCAGGAAATCTCTTTCTCTGGTTTTAGTAACTGTACTTTTGCTTCTTTTGTTGTCAAGCCTTACAGAGATGTCTGCCAGCAGCATGTCCTCTGCAGGTTCCACCATGGCGTCTGCTGGCCCCTCAGCCCGTCCCCGCCACCAGAAGTCTATGTCCACCTCTGGCCACCCTATCAAAGTCACACTGCCAACCATCAAAGATGGCTCTGAAGCTTACCGGCCTGGGTGAGTCCTGTAGTCACTGTCTCCTCAAAGCTCTCTGAGGACATTTTAACTGTAGTATACACTTACTGTGTGCTTAAAACTACTTGAAATCATTTTCAAGAAGAATATTCTTAAAAGACTCTATTTTTTAATCCACCCATAAATCATTGCTGCCTAATTTATCACCTAAGTAAATTGAGTGGCTAGCGAGCTGGATCAACAGGTGGTAGAGGTGCTTACCGCCGAGACTGAGGGCCTCTGCTCTGTCCTGGGAATCCACACGGTGAAGAGAAAGGACCAGCTCTCAGGAGCTGTCCTCAGACCTCCACACGTGCTCCGTGGCACCCACAAATAAATTGAGCTTAAAAAGAATGGTAAGTAAAATGAGACTCACAAAAAGCCAGACATGGTGGCACATGCCTTTAACCTAGCACTGGGGAGGCAGAGACAAGCAGATCCTTGTTCAAGGCCAGCCTGGTTTACAAAGCAAGTTCTAGTACAGCCAAGGTGATTGCACAAAAAAATCCTGTCTTGAAACCACCCCCACCCAAAAAAAAATGAGACACACAAAAGCAAACCCTGTAGCCTCAGGTCCTAACAGTTGCATTGCCAGTGTGACAGGTTCACTGATGCTCAGGTATAAAATTCAACTCACTTGAATTTGTACCTCTTGGAGGATTTCTGAAATCCAGAGCATCTTTACATCTTCAGTAATTAGATTTCGTTAGTCATGTTGATAGCACCATGTGGCATTATATCCCTGGAACTAAAGTAGAAACATGGGTGATACTATGAAACCATTTTCGACAAACAATAAAATTCATTCTGTACACTGCTGAGCAATATACGTTCAAAGCATTCAAATTGAAAGTTTATCTGAAATTTGTAGGCTGGGAGCCTTTTGGATTTTGAACATTTTTCAATTTTACAGTCTTTACATGTTCATAATGGGATAGATGGGACAGGACATGAATTTAGACATGGAATTCACTCTAGCATACCTTACATGCACAGCATAAAGACCATTTCATAGTGTGTGTTCAGTGAACTTCACATGAGGTCACACATGGACTTTTTCATGGATAGTGTCTTATCAGTGCTTAATTTTTTTTTAGATTTTGAAGCATTTGGGATTTCAGATATGCACATTACATAATAAAAAATACATATGCAGCACTCAGGCACACCAGATTCTGACAGTATTTTTCTGTGTGTCAGTAACTTCTTGATCTTAACTACCAAATTTTACAAGATATAGTAACAGTATAGTTTTAAAGTGACATCCAATGCTTGTATGATGGTTATAAGTAAATTAATTGTCCCATGAATTTTATTTTTAGTGTGAATAAAAGTCATTGGGCCAATGGAAGTAGCCATGCCTCCCCCAGTTTTCAGCCTGAGTGAAAGCAGCTCCTGCATATTGTGAATAGTATATCTCCATTCCTCCCAGCACTGCAACCCAGAGAGTGCCTGCTGCTTCCCCATCTGCTCACAGTGTTAGTGCCAGCACCCCAGACAGGACCCGCTTTCCCCGAGGGAGCTCCAGCCGGAGCACCTTCCATGGGGAGCAGCTCCGAGAGCGACGTAGTGCAGCTTACAGTGGGCCACCTGCCTCCCCATCCCATGAAGCGGGCACCTTTGCGCATGCCAGAAGGGGAACATCAACCGGGATAATAAGCAAAATCACCTCCAAGTTCGTACGCAGGTCAGTACCCTTGGTGTGCTTGTTTTCTCTGCTGAAGAGGAAACCTGGTTCTTTCCTGTCACCTCTGCCATGATATTTAGAATTGCTACAGGGCATTTCATTAAGTTTTATAGGAACTGGGAATAAAACACCAGGAAAAATAGTCTTTTTCCTTAAGAGAGAGAAATTAAAAATGAGACTTTAAGGGCTGGAGATGCAGCTCAGTTGATCGAGTATTGCCGAAAGTGCATGGAGCCCACAGTTGAGTGCCAGCACTGGAGAACCGTCACTTTTGACGGCAAGAAGAGAAATTCACGATCACCTCCACTGTGTAACGAATCTCTGCTCACCCCGCGATGCTAATGCCCTTTCTTAAAAGAAAACTTAAAGCTTTTGCAGAGCAAAGCAAAAACTTCACATAAAAAATCTTTGTCAGTCATGGTGGCACACACCTTTATCCCAACACGCAGGAAGCAGAAGCAGACAGATCTCTATAGGTTCAAGAACAGTCAGGTCTCCAAGGCAAATCTCAGGACAGCCAAGGTTATGGAGAGAGACCCTGACTCAAAAAAAAAATGCTTTTATTTAGGAAATTACATATAAGCTTATTATGTGTCCTTCAAAAATAATTAGCTTAATTTTTTTAATGTTATTTATTTATTGAGGAGAGGAGGGGAAGTATGTGCCATAGCATGTGGGGAAGGGAAATCAAAAGGCATAGTAAGAGTTCTCTCCTTCACCATGTGGTTTCCAGACACTGAGCTCAGAGCATCAAGCTTGGTTGGCAAGTGCCATGACCCACTAGGCTACTATATGTATATATGTATATATGTATATATGTATATGTATGTATTATACATGTTTAAATTCTTTCAAATCACATTTATCTTTTAAATAAGTTTAAGGTCATGTAGATTACTTTAAAACTGAACATCAGAGGCCAGAGAGACAGCTTAGCAATTGGGAACACTGGCTGTTCTTCCAGGGGACCCGGATTCTGTTCCCAGCCAGCTCACAACTGTCTGTAACTCCAGTTCCAGGGAATATGACATGATTACACAGACATACAAGCAGACAGAACACCAATGTATGTAAAATAAAAAGAAACCATTAATATCATTACATGCAACTTGAGCTCTGCTACATTAAAAAACAAACAAACAAACAAACAAACAAACAAAAACCACTTGGAGCTGGAGAGATGTCTCAGTAGTTAAGAGAGAACTGGCTGCTCTTCCCAAGGACTCGGGTTCAGTTCCCAGCACCCACATGGCCATCTGTAACTCCAGTGCCAGGGGATCTGACACCCTCACATAGACATACATGCAGGCAAAACACCAATGCATATAAAATAAAAATAAATAAATAAATCTTTGGACTGGGGAAAAAAAACCACTTTTCTATACAGAGAGCTGTCAAGATAAAGAGGATGGTATTTGGAGTCATGAAAGAAGCAAATCTGTAAACAGTAAGTCATGTGCTAAAGCAGAATGCAGCTAACAAGGGAAATGTTAGGCCGAGTCAGAGGCAAGGCGTGGTTGTTTCTAGGGTTTATGCCATGTGTTCATGTGAGCTGAGCCTTGAATCATAAGTGGAGGGATTATGCGTAAATGCTGCTATTTACTTGCGGTGTCTCTAGTGGTCCTGGTGTTTCAGCGTGAATAGAGAAGCTGGACGTGGTGGCTCATAGCGCTAATAGCAGCACTCAGAAGGAAAGTAGGTTGCTATTCCAAAGGAGCAACCCACCACAAACAAATAGAAAGCATGGTGGATAGAGAAGAGCAGCAACCTCCTCCCTCTCCTTGTGCAGGACCACACAGCTGAGCTTCAACCTTAAGTCCTCAAATGCAAGCGTCTTAGCTTAGACACTTAGCAGCCAGCCTCACCGTTCTGAGAAAGGCCATTTGCGAAGGTGGGAAGGAATCGAAGTCAGGACAGAGCTGCCTACCATTCCTAAAAAGAAAAGAATGAGGGAGAGTCAGATCAGAAGCTGGGACTGTCTGAGGACGCAGAGGCGGAGCTTGCAGGCAACTGGCTCCACGGGGGTGAGGCCTAAGGACCATCAGTGACCTTATGCTGATTGAGCAGGTGCGCAGTGACACCTTGTAAGGGAAAGACATAAGCCCACCCCACAGTCAATAGGGAGTCAGAGGGTGGTGGTGGCAGTCATTTGCAGGGTGCTTGTGTGATTGTCGATTACTGGTGCAATATGTAGAGCAGTGAGGAAGGTTGTTTCATGTATCTTTCAAAGTTGAGCCACACTCTTCTCTCTTTGCTGGTTTTTCCTGCCTCACAAAGCAGCTGCCCCTTCCCAGGCTGGAACTTCCCAGGTTTTCTTGCCTTTCCCCATCTCTCTGTGGGTTTTCTGTCTTCTCTTAGTGATCGCCTGGAGATACCATCTCACTTTAACCCAGATCTCCCAGGGCGTTTCCCCTATGGAGCCAGTTGCCCACAAGCTCCGCCTCTGCGTCCTCAAGACAGCCTCAGCTTCTGATCTGACTCTTCCTCATTCTTTCCTTTTTAGGAGTGGCAGGCAGTACTATATGTACTATATGACTTCTATTCCTTCCCACCTTCGCAAATGGCGCTGCTACTGTCCTTGCCACCACTGCCTCACAGTGGAGACCACTGCCAGTTTTCACCTCCCAGCCAATCTTCTTTGGCCTCATACATATTTTAGCAGTATAATTCTGAAAAGTCACTCCTTGATTTAAAGCTGTCCATTGGGGCTGAGACTGTAGCTGGCCTAGCACCACAAGGCCTTCAGTTTGATCCCGAGACAGTGCAAGAAAATAAAAGCAAACAGGAAAAAAGGCCTCTTAATTAGCTTTCCTCTTGCTCGGTATTTATGGGCAGACAAGGCTTGCATCGTATGCCCACTCCTCCTGTCTGATTCTTCCCATTCTTCCCACCTCTGTGGTATCTCTGCACACCTTTTGAGTTTGTACTTGTGTCCTTTCTCCTTGGAATCTTGCCTCAAATGCCTGCCAGTTACTTCCTGCTTCTTCTATAACAGGCTTGATTTCTCCCTAAGTGAAAGGGAAGAGCCTGTGTGTTCGGTTGAATACAGATTGCTGTCTATACTTGCTTGCTTTAGCACAGAGCCATGCTAAGCTGTATGAGCTGTTGCAGCCAGCTGGGCTTCTCCCTTTTGCCTCCCACTATGGTCACTTAGAGCAGTCTTCTCTGGCTATTGTGACGTTACTGCTCCCGCCCAGGTAGGCTGGACCAGGGTGTGAGTGGATTGCTATTTGGATCTTACAGCAGAGAAAGTGAGGTGTAAAGGGACATTCCACTCCTGATACTTAGAGCTCAGGCTCGCCAGCAGTGTCCTGTGTCTCCATGCATAGGACAGAAGAGTGCTAGGAGGCTCTGTTCCTTCTGAATACAAGTGTTTCATCTTTGCAGTAGGGGCCAACAGAGCAACTATGTTTATTGCTAAAGTAGAACACTGCCCTTCTATGCAGTGAGTCTCAGCATCTGCGCACAGCTGGAATACCATGCATGGTGAACCAACTCAGAAATGTGTTTACTTCAGTTTGCTATAATAATTTTTACAGATGGCACTGAGTAATATCCTGCTGAGTGAAAATGGCAACTATTAAAAAAAACAGAAATTTAAGAAACGCTATTTGAAGATGCAAATACATTTTATTATTCTTTTTAGTTCTGAAAAAAAATGTTTTTCACAGACTATTTCTCTGGGAGAGGGCTTACAGTTAGAGCCCCGAGGGCTTGGGATGCTTATGGTGTTCAGGGCGCAGACTGTGCAGCAGCTCAGTGCTAATGTGCTAGGTGGGAGGAGGACGGTGCTGATGTTAACCCTGCATTGTACAGTTCACATAAAAACACAAATGTGGAAAGGCTGAAACATTTTTAAACATGCTTAAGGGTTAGAGATGGTGATTTTTCCTAGCTTCTCAAAATATTTTTGTTCTCTCATAAGCCACCTCTTAAGATTTGCATATTAAGCCAGGCGTGGTAGCACATGCCTTTGATCCCAGCACTCAGGGAGGTAGAAGCAGGCAAATCACTGTGAGTTCGAGGCCAGCCTAGTCTACAGATGAGTCCAGGGCAGCCAAGGCTACACAGACAAACCCTATCTCAAAAAAGACAAAACAAAAAACAAAAAGATTTGCATATTAGGTTGTAACAACTAAGTTTCAATTACCTTTGAAATATCAATGTAGTTAGAATTTTGGAAGACTTTAAAATAGTAACCACCTTCAATGAAAAAACAGCAGTTTTTCTGACTTTATTTCACAGATGGATATCTCGGTAAGATTGTTGTTCTGTGTATAATTCAGTCTGTTTTTAGCCTCACCTACTTGCACAGGCTGATGACTTACTGTGCATGAATTGTTAGCAAAACTTCTAAAAAAAATTCATGGTCTATTTAGGACTTAGTGTTTACTTTTAGAAAACCATGTTGGCCTGCCTTCCTTCCTTCCTTCCTTCCTTCCTTCCTTCCTTCCTTCCTTCCTCCCTCCCTCCCTCCCTCCCTCCCTCCCTCCCTCCCTCCCTTTCTTTCTTCATCCTAAGATTTGTTTTTTTTGTATTCATGTGTGTACACCAGAAGAGGATATCAGATCCTATGGGACTACAGTTATTGACAGTTGTGAGCCACCATGTGAGTGCTGGGATTTGAACCCATGTCCTCTGGAAGAGCAGCAGGTGCTCTTTGCTGAGTCACATCTCCAGCCCTGAGATCACTTTCTTAAGCTCAATCTCTCTCTCCCAGTCTCTCTCTCTCTCTCTTTCTCCCTTCTTTCATGAAACAACTTCTCTTTCTATTCTAAACCTGGGGCTTGCTGCTTGGGCTACCCTAGCTGGCCCCCAGACCTCCAGGATGTCTGCAGGAGATGTGCCTGCTTTCCATTAGTCCAGTCCTCATGCCGTACAGAGGAGTGTGCCCACTGTTCCGTCTTCTCAGCCCTCTGTCTCCTACGCACAGCCTTAGCTGCTCAGCCCAAGCTTTGTGTTTAGCTGCAAGGTTAGCCCATTTGCTCAACTGAGCAGCCACCTCCAGAAGTGCATTAATAATGTGAAGTTTAATATTTCACATAGTCAGCAAACCCTAACCTTGGATCTAAGCAAAAAGACAATTTATTAAATTATAGTTGTAGCTTGAAATTGGAAGACTGTGTCTAAAGAACAACTAACTTTTCACCTGATACCTCCTGTCAGCAATATCTAGTAGATGCTCAAGAAATGGCAGTAACACCTGTTACGGTGAAAGCATGAAGAAGATTCAGACCCAGAAATAATGAGCAAGATAACTTCAGTGTCTTTTTTTTTTTGTGGGTTTTCTTGATCTTCTTTTGCTTTTAAAATTGTTAAATCTCAACCTTCTCTTTATTTTTGAGGGATCCAAATGAAGGCGAAGCCAGTGGCAGAACCGACACAGCCAGGTGAGCCATGGGTGCCAGGTGCTCCCACACTTGGTGGCAGTGGGCAAGGTGCTTATTTGCTAGCAACTGCACTTTGAATCTCTATATTCAAACTGTGGTGGGTTTTCCTGATGTCACCTGGCATGTAATGAAATTCAAGTTTACCAACTGTAACTGTGTAACTCACAAATCTGAATTGCGTACTTGGTAAAGATTTGGGCTTTTTCTTCTGTCAGAAGAGTAATAGCAAGGGATTAATAGTTGAAAGTGCACTGTTCTCTCTCTGGTATGTGCTGTCACTAAGATGAGTGTACATGGAATAATGCATGGAATAGCACTGAGGCAACTGCTGTGCAGAGGATTTAGCTATAGTAATATAGTTAGGTGACCACATTCTAAAACTCGACGCTTCCTGCGTTTTCCCCAGAGAAAAATAGAGAAGATTGTTGGTATAATGTTCTTTTGGAATGTATACAATTTACCCTTGTTCATTCAAATGCCGATTTCTCTACCCCACTATCCGGTTTCAATCCGGGCTTTGCATTGTGATACTTATTCTAAGCATCACCCATCTCAAGTTTGTGTAAACATGCTTGCTCTCTGTAATTGTCAATTAAACAAACAGCCCCAATGCTGTGCAATAGTGAGAACAGGGTGGGACATTCTGGTTGAGAGGGGAGGAGAAGGAAGTGAGTAGGAGAGGAAGAGAATCAGGAGGAGAGGTCTTGGAACCACGTGGAGAGATGGACTGGACCTAAGATATGACTAAAAGCAAGTATAATGTGTGAAATCTGAATGGTGGGAAACTATGCAGGCTTGGAAGTTTTGAATGGAGTAACTATTGCCCAGCATTGTGCTCTAGGTTAATTAAATAAATCCCAGTCTCTGTGTGGTGATGTGGGTAGACAGCTGGTTTAGGACTAACTGCTGCTTAACTAAAAGATAAATAAAAGTGAATATAAATACCCACAACAGAAGACAATGAAATAAATACTTTTGGTGTCCATCTAATAGTTTTTGGCATATATTTTCTTAACTTATTTTTTTAAGATTGCAGCTTTTGGCACTTTGGAGCCTCAGTTATCTGGGAATGAAAGGAACAATTTTTTTTATGTTCCTTTATATTTGTTATAATATAATATGTTTTTATATAATATATATAAATGCGTATGTGCATATTTCTAGATGAAACATAAATGTCTTTCAGAGATGTAATTTCTTTCTTAAATTACAAATGAGTAAGGAATGTTTATAAGCAAAAATTGCAACTTGCTATATTTGGATACGGAGAACTGTGTATCATGGGAATCCATTAAGTTCACCTTTCTGTGATCACTTGAAATGATTTTCTGGTTCAGTGTTATGTGTGTGATACCTAAAGAATAAAATTTAATGTGTGAGTCATCTCTTATGCCCAGCGTAGTTCTAAATGCCTGGGGTATGTCAGAAGTAAAGCAGCCAAATGTCCTGGAGCTTATGATCCAAGAATAGTCAAGGGATAAGTAAGAAGCCTAAGAAATGTTCAGTTAGTGGGTTTGAGTGGCATGAACAGGGAAGAAAGAGTAGAATAAGAAGGGGTGGTCAGACTAGGTCAGGAGTCAGGGTCCTTAGGGACTATGGTGGAGAAAATAAGTGATGAGTGGAAAAACAAGAGAAGGCTGTTATGTAGCCGAGGGGAGTATCCTAGCCTGTGCAGACACTTGGAGAGGAGAAAACAGACCTATGGTCAGGAGCAGCATGGAAGCCAGCATGTGGTCAGGAGAGAGCAGAGAGAAAAGTGATAGCAAGGGGTAGAGACCACAGGCTGCCTTCTGAGCCAGTGTACAGAGAGAAATGGCAAAAAGCAGAGCCATCGGGCTGAGATATGCTGACATAATTGTGGTACACCTCCTGTCTGTCGAGTTGGAACCTCTTTCCCTCTCAAGTCATTACATCGCTCCTACACAAAGGGTAGGAAAAGAAAAAAATATGTTTATACTTCAACACTGTGGTCTATAAGGGAAATCTTAGTCGTGCCTGATGTATGTGTGTATCTGTGTATAGGCGTGTGTGTATTCAAAAGTGTGTGTATGTGCATGTGGGGGTGCCATGTCTGTCTTTGTGGTATGTCTGTTTTTGTGTTCAGAAAATCATTTTGTAGAATTTACTCCTGAAATATAGGGAAAACTATTAAATTTTCACTTTCAGCTACAAATTTCTTCCTGGGACATATGCACTTAAGAAAGCTTGCTGCTTTAGACTGAAGATGCTAAACGCCAAAGTAGATGGTGCTCCTGGGTCTGTTCACCACATGGCAGTAACAGGCATCTCTGGTCCCTCTGAGGGCTGACTGCAAACTGGATAGTTTTGTTAGGTGTGGAATTATCACTCACATTGTATGGTTGAACTTTCTTTGCTGAATACAACTTTTGTTTTGCTTTTGTCCCCTTTGCCCTCTTCTTCTAGAAGTACATCAGGGGAGCCGAAAGAAAGAGACAAGGAAGAAGGTAAAGACTCCAAGCCGCGTTCTCTGCGGTTCACATGGAGCATGAAGACCACTAGCTCCATGGACCCCAATGACATGATGAGAGAGATCCGAAAAGTGTTAGATGCCAACAACTGTGACTATGAACAGAAAGAAAGGTTCCTACTTTTCTGTGTCCATGGAGACGCCAGGCAGGACAGCCTCGTACAGTGGGAAATGGAAGTCTGCAAGTTGCCTCGGCTCTCACTGAACGGGGTCCGCTTCAAGCGAATATCTGGGACATCTATTGCCTTTAAGAACATTGCATCCAAAATAGCAAATGAGCTTAAGCTGTAAAGATGTGTAAGCTTCGGAATCAGGGAAGATGCACCCACATCTGAGGTACAGTTTTTGAATGTACTGGGGATGCCTACTGTGGTCCACCTGTGAATCTCCCATGTAGAATTTGTCCTTAATGCAATAAGGTTATACATAGTTATGAACTGTAAAATTAAAGTCAGTATGAGCTATAATAAGAATCTGTAGCTTAAAAAGTAGGTTCACATGTACAGGTAAGTATATTGTGTTTTTCTGTTCATAGAGTTGTATAATAAAATATGATTGCTTTAAAACCTGTATAGTTGTCTAGATCTCCACACAGAAGCGTGCATTTAATGCTTTCAGTTGAAAATGGTTTTCCCTGTTATTTACATTTTGGTGGGTTTTTAAAATTCTTACCTCCATCATGCTATTTTGAAAATTGTGTCCAGGATTAAAAGCGCACAGAAATAGTCTTTAAAATTGTAGCATGAACTTTATAAAATTATTTTTAAATCATATTTAATTTAAACCAGAAGTTGACAGTGGATCGATGTCATTCAGTTTCTCCTGCTTTTCTTGTTCTCAGCCTGTGTCAGACAAGGTGTAGTTAGGAGATGCAAAATGTTTACAGTGTTGGCACCTAGACTTTTCTAAACAAAGTGAAAATAAACCATAGCTTTGCCTTGAGCTAACTCAGAAGTACTGAGGGAAGAAATTAAATCTTTGCCAAGCTTATTTTGCCCTTTGTTTTCTGACCTGCTAATTAGCAGCAGAGACTGGAGGACTCCATAGTCACTGGGCTGTTCTGAAACAAACCAGCACTTAGATTAGCTGCCTTCAGGACACGCAGGGTAACTGCAGAAATGCAAGGGTGTCGGGGCGTCTCATAGCACAAGCTCCTGTGTACAGTGTTGATGAATGCGTTGGCTAAGATATGATGCTGCCTCAGGAATTGACTGGCATTGGGAGCATTTGCCCCGGTGTCTGCCCAGCCTCCATCCACCCCACCACTCTAATGTCTGCACTCGGGAGACCTATGAGCAGGACCTGCTTGCCACACCCGCTTATTATGGATGTATGCTTGCCTGGTGGTTCACTTTGCTCCCTCAGAACTCATTTGTTTTCAATATTTTGCCCAAGTTCTCATGTTTCTTCCACATCATTATGCCTGTAATGTGCAGCTTTGTAACTGGTCATTTGCCTTCTTTCATAATTAGTGACATGAGCGATGTAAAGCCACTAGTATTCATTATTTTCAACTGAATAGCCTTGGAGGTTGACTGTGCAATGTTGTAATTAATGTTGTAATTACTGTAATATCAGCGTATGGGCCCCATCTGCACACTCCTGAGAAGTAGAAAGTGTACTCAAAGCTTATCAGTTGAAGGAAGAACAATGATGTGATCAGTGCTGTCATTGGAACCTACAGATCAATGCTTGTCGTTGGAAACTACACTGGAAAGCTGCCAGCGTAGGTGATGGACTCTTCCACAGTGGCGTCTAGACAAAGATGGTTTCATCTTCTGTACTGTATTGTGATGTAGCTTTCTTCTGTACCATTCTGTTCTAAATGGTGTGTTTTCTTGCCTTAGGGAAGGATGGTGTGGGGGGGCAACAATCAAAACTGTGTAGGCCCTTTTCAACTTGGTGTTCATTCAGAACATTCGATGCAGATCTGCATTCACTCACTGGTGCACACTGAAATCTTACTTGAACAGATCTCATAATAAAGCATTTGTCTTTTGCTCTTTCTCGGGTTGTGAATCCCTTGTTTTCTGCTTGGAGAGCCCCTCTCCATGTGGTCTTCCCTGTGCTCTAAGTTCACTCGGCAAGCAAGCTCTGGGCTATTTAAGTTCTCAGGGTGTCTTTACGGTGAGAAAGTTGTCTTTTTACAGGAATTCCAGTCATTGCAATACTTTTTAGAACAGAGGCCCCAGGCATCTTCCAAGGCAGAGGCAAGAGCGGCTATGTTTTCTCACTCCAGCCGACCCCTGTGTTTTATGGAAGAGAATTTTACTTCCTTATTTTTCATGAACTGAAAATGAGATTTGGCATTCACTTTATATTCTCTGTTTTATATCTTCATGATAACATTATTTTGAAGACTCAGGAAGTTTTTAGTACAGTTGCATAAATAAACACCTGGCTATATGATAGCAGGATTTCCTGTAGAAGTTTTATTTGTATCGTTTCTTAGAAAATAGGACATGGTATTTTGTTTAACCACAGCAAAAACAAAATACAGCAAAATAAAGATGAAATCTACTTCAGAACCCTGACACAACAATGTTCTGTGGAGTACAACTTGATTGTAAACACAAAGATGTTATTGTGGGTGATTGTCACTGAAAGTGACACTCCAAGCCCAGCTTCTTGGCCTGTTGGGTTTAACAAGATGCTCTCTGCCCTGTTTTTACGATGTCTGTGTAGGGAATGATGCAGCTTAAGACATATGAAATGGCTCTACAGACAGTGCTCACCCCTCCAGGGCTGTGGGTCATCTGGGAAGCTGATGGAAACATGTACACAGTCCAAAAAGACATGGACAGGAAGCACTGAAAGTGCCAAAATGAAGAAGAGGAGGAGGAAAAATTATCCAGAAATGGAGGATAGAGTGAGTTTGGGTGATATTAACAAGAATAGCCAAGAAAGTCAGAAATGGGAAAGGCCCTCCGGAGGAAGGAGCCTCTGAGAGAAGGGGAAGTGAGACAGAGAGAGCTGTAAGGAAACAGAGGCATGAAGATGGCTGCAAGTTCCAGGCTAGCCAGGGCCACAGGTGTGGTTTGTCCCAGCAAACGAACTACACACAGAATGCACTGGCAACCTCAACTTGCAGTTAATCTGTTTGTTCACTGATTCAGCAAATGCGTGGAGTGTGACTAGCCATCAGGTTCTGGGTCCTAGGGAAACAGTAGGAAAATCTATGTCGAATAAAAGATTGTAGAGAGAATGTGTAGAAAGGCTTAAAGGATGGAGCTAGGAAGCCTTTCTCAAGAGAATGAGGAAGGCATATTCCACAGACATTGCAATAAATGAAGCAAGATCCTGTGAGAGGGACTTACCATGTTAGCATACATGCAAACTGGTTTTGCAGATTTTGGTATGAGCCAGTGAAGGATAATGCACCCTGTGATGGCCCAGCTCTGTGTCTTGACAGAACTATCAGTCTGCACTACATTAAGAGGGAGGTCCTGAGTCCCATTATTAGGTCAGAGCTAGGGCCTGGAAGGATGGCTTACAGGCTAACAAATTAAGGGCACTGGCTTCTCCTTAAGAGGACCTGAGTTCAGTTCCCAGTAACTCCAGTTCCAATACACCTGTTGCCCTCTTCTGGCTGGTGTGGCCACCAACCACACGCATAGCGCACATACATGCAGGCTAACCTGATGGAAGCAGTTCCTCCATCGAGGTTCCCTCTTTCAGGTGTCAAGCTGACAAGATCAGCCATCACACCCTCTGACATGTGAAACCAAGACTCAATGGTAACGCAGCTCACAAGCCTGGAGGTTCTTTGCGGAGCCTTTACAGTGCTTGTGTGTTTTTCTGTCACTCTAAGATGGATTACAGTAAGAGGAATACTATACATTCAACACAACCACTAAACACAGTGGTGTCAGCCAGTGAGCCAGCAAGGGGTAGAATGGAAGCTTTAAAAATAATGCTCCAGGATAGTAGTCACGGAAGAAGCCCATGGACCGATAAGCAGCAATTGACAGAATGAAGAGATGGCCTACAGCATGGTAGAAAATGTTTGTGCGTTATTTGATAGTTAATATGTAAAGCATACAGGAACTCAGACAACTGGATAGCAAGAAGCCTCAGGTTACAAATGCGCAAGGGACCTAAGAAAATAACTGCTCAAAAGATGCCCAAATGGCCAATGAGGTGATGGGGGTGGGGGAGGGGAATGCTCAAAACCACAGTATCAAGCCAGTAGTGGTGGGCATGCCTGCGATCCCAGCACTAGGGAAGTGAAATGAAGAGGCTCCTATCTGAGCATTGCCAGAAAGACCAAAGATAGTGTGGGCAAGACTGTAGAGAAAGAGAACTCCTGCACACTGTTAGGGGGCTGTGAATTAGTGCAGCTGTTTTGGAAAACAGTACGGATGTTCTTTAGAGGTAAAAATGACTGGTATAGACTCCAGTCAACACACTCCTGGGCGTTTGCCCAAGGAATAGGAAATGAGTATATTAAAATGAAACCTGTATTCTGCATTCACTGAAGTATAATTAACTAGCTGATTAGCCTAAGCATCCCTCAGCATGAGTAGATGCAGAAAAGGCAGCATATATAGGATGGAGTTCGGCTCTGCCCCGCAGAATGGTGAAAAGCCTGTCCATATCAACCGAGGTGAGTCAAGTGAGAAACTAAAACCTAAGTATCTCTGGGCTGGCGAGAGGGCTCGGTGAGGAAGGTTGCCTGCTGCCAACCCTGAGGACGTGAGTCCCCCTCCAGATCCCACATGCTAGGAGAGCACTGACTCCTACAAGTTGTCTTCTGACCTCCACATGCATGACACACAGGAAGAGAAAGAGAGAGAGAGAAGGCGGGGAGAGAAATAGGTAAATAAGCTACGATAAAAATATAAAAAGCAAGCATCTTGCTGTCCAGAAACCATATTTTGACATTTTTCTGTGGAAGGCTGTATGTGTTAGTTTTGAGTCTAAAGGTTGGGGACTGATCAGAGAAAAGGCATGGCCATGAGGTGGCAGTAGAATAGCGTGCAGAAAGTATTGTTTGGATGCAGTTTGCAGAGCTTCAGAAGAGAACCCTCAGAGCGGGAGGCCTTCCAGAGAATGTCCAGAACTCCAAGCCAGTAGGGAGAAAGAGCACGGATGTTTCTCTGCCTACAGAAAATGGGAGAAGAAGTTTCAATGCAGAGACTGGAAGAGGCCCCAAAGGGCAGCACCCATGTGGGGACCTTTCAGAGCCCAGGTTGTCTTCTCTATGGCTAGAAGATGTTGGGTAGTTTTACAAGTTATGCACAGCAAGCAGACAGTGAAGTATGGAATACGTACGTTTGGATGTGTTTGTTTGCACTGACAATACTGAAGCAATTGGGTGCATAAGGGTTTTCAGTTTGGTTCCAGCAACGCTAAACTGAGAGTCCTAGGCTGTGGCATAAAAGCAAACACCATGAGGGCTACCTTTGACCCATTTGTGTAACAGTAGTTTATAACATGAAAACCGGGCCAGCAAGATGGCTCAGTGGATGAAAGTGCTTCCTGCCAAGCTTGATGACTTGAGTTCAATCCCAAGGAACCACGTGGTGGGAGAACTAACCCCCACAGGTTGCCCTATGACCTGCATCTACATGTCTGTGTAACTTCTTCCTGTTTCCTGTCCTGCCTTCAGAGTCTAGTGATTTGGGGGAAATGCCTGACAAACTGGGCGCTTCCTGAGTGGCATGTCGCCTGTGTCAATGTGGTGTCTGTTCTACCTAAGGAAGTCACTGCCCTGCTATGCTTTTTCTGCACAGTCTTGCAATTCTCTCTAGTAAATGACAGCCTTTCACGAAATAAAAATATTTGCAGGGTGTGGCGATGCCTGCCTTTAATCCTAGCACTTGGGAGGCAGAGGCAGGTGGATCTCTGTAAGTGTGAGGCAGCTAAGGCAGCACAGTGAAACCCTGGCCCCCATAAAACACACACACACACACACACACACACACACACACACACACAGGGGGGGAGAGAGAAGGGAAGAGAAAGAAAGGAATTAAGTTGGGTCTAGAGAGATGGCTCAGTGGTTAAGAGCACTGACTGCTCTTGTAGAGGACCCAGGTTCACTGCTCAAAGTGGCAGCTCATCACCACCTCCAATTCCACTTCCAGGGTGTCTAACACCCCCATCTACCCTCAGGTGACACCAGGTGCACAAGCAGTACACATACATACGTGCAGAACAAGCGTTGTACACCTAAATGTTTTCGATTTCTAAAACTTTAAGTTGATTTTTAAAGCTTTTTATTGATTCCTTTTGAGTTTCACATCATGCGCCCCAGTCCTGCTCATCTCTTTGTCCCCTCATATTCACCTTTCACCCCTCCAACCCCCTCCCCAAATAAAAAACACACACAAACCAAAGCATTTCATCGTGGAAGCTGTATTATGTCACAGTGAGTCCTACTCTATACTCCTCTGTCCACACAACTTCATGTGCAATTGTTCATGGTACTGAATCGTTTATTAGTTCGAGATTGCTGGCTTCTTTGGCACCATCAATATTGGATCCTCACTGGGACTCCTCCTAGTCATCCTGTTGCTGCCCTGTGTCATCCTGCAGCTTTGGAACAGTACAAATGGCCCTTTCATGTGTCCAGTCCCAACCACTGGAAGATGATACCAGGCCACCCAGTGCCACCACTGGCAGGAGGCAGGGTCAACTCTCATGTTCTCATGACCTCGGGCCAGCTCACCTGTACCCACGCTTCCAGAGCCCGTTCCACTGTGCTGCCCAGTCAAGCAGAGGGGAGGGAGCTATGGGGATAGGGGGGTCACTCTTCCAAGCACTGCAGCCTGAGAGGGGCTGGGCCAGCTCTCCTGCTCTCACACCCTCAGGCTGGCTCAAAAGCATCTTTGCCATCAGGGCCAGCTCTCTCCTGTGTTGCCCAGGCAAGGTGCAGGGCCTGCTCTCCCAAGTGCTGCAGCCAGTGAGGAACAGGGCTAGCTCCCCTGACTGCCACACATGGGGTGAGGAATGGCATACCCCCAGCACCCACCCTACCTCATGGCAGGTGAGTGGCTGGGC